TCAGGATTTGGGATGTTCCATGTCGCCTAATGTGGACACTGCAGTGCCACTGCTGTCATCAAGATGCAGATCTGCCTGTGACCTTGGGTCCTAACTAGAGAACAACGCCAGTTTGTGTTTTCTTAAAGTCCAAGTAGGTGAAAATGGGCAGGTGCCGGTGCCATTTTCAAAGCTATGACCAGATTTCTTGCAAACTAAAGGTGCAAGATGATAAAGCTTAGCAGGGCTGTGAGGTGGAATCTGAAGAGAAGTTGCATTTAGGATGATGCAAACATCGTATGGACAAGACTGTACATTCACCTCATTCTGTATAGATATGTATTATGTTACTCTGTGTATGATATATTTATTTGATGATATGGAATTATTTATGTACCTATATTTATACTTTTTTTTAAAGACATTTATTTTGATGTAGATATCACTACATTAGTGTTGATGTGCAATAGCTGCAAGTCCAATCAGCCTGCCTTGGGTTCATGGTGACCTCATAGCTCTGTTTTCATTTTATAAATGGCTTGGGGCATAAAGTTGAGGCTTACAAAAATGTGTATGATTATAATTCTGCTCCAAAAGCCAACAAGCTCCTCAGAGACCTCATTTAGATCTAGTGTAAAAAAGTGGAGTAATATGTTCTGGTAAATGATGAGTAACAGTTACATCCCATAATAGTGATCCTTCTGTAATCAAAACATGACCAGAATGGCTAACATGTCTGTAATATGTGTACTCATGGACTGAGGAAATGTTTTTTTTTTTTAAAGATATGTAAGTCCTGTGGACAAACTACACTGTTGAATGTATTTTATTGGAGTCCATATTAAACATGGATATGTTGAACACTGAGAACGTCTTGGTGTGAAAAGTAGAAAGTGACGAGTGTGGAAGTGACTGCGACAAAGTTTCGAGTGGAATGTTTGAAAGTTTATAGGTAAGGGAAAGTTCCCTGCTGTTACGCAGCGTATACCGTAAACTGGATGTACATCACTTCCTGTTTATTTACCATAGAATGTGGTTCAGAAAAAAAAAATATGTGGGCCAGCAAACAAACACATCACACCTCCTGTCAACTGAAACAAATGCTACCCGCTATTAAAACATACGAGCTGCGGCTTTCACCTTGTCAGCGCAGACATAAGGCATGCTCAGATAATTATAGAGGAAATGCAAAGTGCTACTTGAGAAATTGGAGGTGGTTTTAATCAGATCATTACTGCTGAACAGTGCTGTAGTGTGTATAATTTGTTCTTTTTTTTTTATTTCTACTCTTTCCCTGCTATTAATTTTCTTAATGGCGAATCTCTTCAAAATTATTGATACCCAAGCTGAGACACATATAAAGTAAGCACAAAATAATGTTTATGTTCAAAGTTACACATCAGCAGCTCAAGCATTTCCTGTAGATCCTTTACTTAACAGTGTACCAAATGACAATTTGAAAGGGGGCAGTCATAGATCTACAGAGAACTACCACATTTTTATGGGGAGTTTCAGCTCATTGTTCAGCTGTCAGTGTCTAGACCGCAACTGAACAGTTCTGGTTCACTTTCACCGCTCACATTGCGTAATTTTTAGCTGCAGTAGGCAGGTGTTTCAGTGAAAAAGCCCTAAAAACCTACTGTACACTCCCTGCTCAGCACTAAATGGCAGACTGATACAGTTAGCGACTAAGCTGGTGAACGCTGTGGAGCATTTAGCAGCTAAAGAGACAGATATTTCCCGCACAAGGTGGTAGAGACCAAAAACAGAGCTAAAAGAGATGGAATATTGGACTTGCATTGATCTGGTGGACACACCTTCAAATAAATGATACTGTTGCTCCATAACTGCAAAATGTAATGGATGGATTACTGAACGGGCCTGCCAGGCACAGGACCAGGGGCCTAGAGTGTCAGAGACCCGCCTTGTATCACCCACATTAACACATACTGACCAGGAAGAGATTTAGGCCTTGTTTACATGGATACTGATACAAATAAAAACAGATTTTTATTTATCCGGTATAAAAAAAAAATCCGGGTTTACACGATCAGTTGTGATGCATGCACAGTGATTTGTTTTCCTCTTGGCGCTAGTGATAAAAACAATGATAAACTACATTTTAACCTTACGTAGCATAGTTAGCTGCTATGCACTAAATAATATTGGGCACAACAGACGTCTTTGTACGCCAATGTAGCAGTGATGTTGATGCAGCAGTGCTAAGTTCATTTGTAAGCTGGTAAGTAGTCCCAAAAGTGCCAACAAAACGTAAACAACCCGGCATATATCCGCCATTGTTGTTGTGGTTACGAGGCACCTAATGGGCATGCGCGAACTGGGTTGCAACGTCATCGTTTTCCAAAAACTCCGTCTATCCTGCTAACATCTCCACAGAAATGGATATTTTTTTAAAAACTTTAACTTTGGAAGCTGTTTTTGAAAAAAACTATTACACAAAAAGATGGATAATTACCACAAAGAGACGAAAAAAAGAGGCAAAACCACCTCAAAGTCTGAGTGTCTTGTTCCTATGGAGGAGAGGTGGTGGGGCCTTTTGAATATCTGTGCCCAGAGGCCCACTGTCTCATAATACGTCCATGCTGGATACATAAATAAACAACTGTTTGTCAAAAAGTTTGCTTTATCAGCTTAAAAGGTGATGCTATGTAAATGTTGTGTTATCGCAGGTTGAAAGGCTCCCTGTGAAGTGTCTGACCTTTAGCAGCGGTAAGGAGCTGTGAGCTGTGAGTCCCTGTTTCGTCTGTATTGTGCACATGCATACAGGTGATGCAATTCACTGTTGACAGTGGTTTCTCACTGTTCAACTGATCTGCAGGCACAAGCACTTAAGACTACAGGCTACTAAGCATGAGTGTAAACTGTGTGACTGAAAATACTACAAAAAATGTTTGGCAAATGTTTTGTGAGGGAGAAAATACATTCAACACGTGTTTAAATTCAAGAGCATCAAAATTTGCTGTGGTGATGTAAACATACATTTCCTATGTTTACAAGAAAACTCACCACTGAAGGTACATTTCCATGCGTAAAAAATATACAAAGCCAATTTCTAAAGTACTTAAAGTCCCTTCTAGACATGTTTTACACTATTTAAAAATACTTACATGCTACTAATATTTAGCTGAATATGATTTTCCTACATAATAGTTAAAAAAGAAATATAAAAATGGTGTGAAAGCAGATCTACAGCTTCTCCCTTTTTGAGAAATTCATTAGGATTTTACTTTCTGTTTTCTCCAGCACAATGCTGACTAGTGAAAGAGCATTGCCCATCAAGATGGCTAGCGCTAGCATCACAGGAAACACTGCAAGGATTCCGCCATACATGTTTGAGCCTGAGTCAGACCTCGACTCATATTAGGAATCTGTTGCGCACCAAAATTGGCAACTAGCAGACACATTAGAATGTTTATGCTGTTTGTTAGCTTGTAGGCTAACAAACTAACAGCTAACACAGCGTTAGTAACTGTGAAACACACAGTAATATCTGCTATGAAGAGGTTTTGGGAAATAGTGGAAGGAAGCTCCATGGTCTGGTTTGCACCCAGTAAAACTGCACACTCTGCTGTATTTGCCGTCAAAACTTTCACTATGCGACGGCAAACTCTTGCTCTCTGACAAGTGCACTTTGGGCTGGAGGTTTCAGGTCTCTTGCTGGTGTTGTGTTGAAGTCTGTTTGATAAGTCTTTCTGATTTTGGGAAGTGATCAGGTTTGGTATATGTGATCAACCTGATCTAGCTCCTGCGGTTTGAATCTGCAGATTTTAGAAAAATGCACAGACATCACCCCCTCCGGTAGAGTGTTGTAAAAACACCTCTCTAGTGACAAACTTGCACAGGTACAAGTCAGAATAGTCACGGTCAAACATTTTAGGGGACATAACTGGAGGAGGAATTTAAATCAACGCTTTGTTTACATGCATGTCAAAATGCTGGCTTTCTTCTTCTTTCCTTTGTTGGTGCATTCCTGTGTTTCTCTGCATTACCGTCACCTGTTGATCAATGGAGTAGTGAGATGATATGAGGTGCATCCATGCACCCAACAATGCACCTCAACTACACCCCAACTCCCCAGAAGTTATTTACATAAACACTGTTGTTTAATTTAGAGCAATGCATCATATTCTGTAAACTGGTTATATGTGATGCATGCAAAATCATAATCATAACTTAAAACTGCAGTTCTCAAATGACTATAATTGTCTTTGAAACATGGCAGAGTAGAGGTAAAAAATGGCTCAAGATAGAAACAATCAGATAAAGCATGAGTACATCAAAATTGTACTTAAGTGCAGCAGTTCAGTTGATACCTTCAAACACTGCAAGGACCGAAACAGCAACATTTTTTGTGCCAAACCTGTATGCTCGAGCTGCAAGAGCATTATCTTGTTGTGTGTTTGTTTTCGCTCAAACACGCAGATGATTATCTGTGTCTCAGAGCAGGAAATGACCCACATATTTCGGCTGCATCTGAGGTCAGTCTTTCCACTCACATATACATTTGGTTACCTGTCTACCTGTCTACATGCTTTCCTGTGTCTTCACACTTTTGTCATGAGTTTGTAACACTTTGCTTTTTGCATTTCTTTTTCCAACCCAATTCTCAGGCAGAATTCCCTCGTTGGTTAACAAACTCTCCTCGACTTAACATCTCTGTATCTCCATATGCCTTTTTTTCCATTTGAAGCAGCTGCAATGGCTGCAAAACTTTCCCCTGTGTACACTGTGAGAAGTGCTGAGTCAGCCACACCGACCTCAGCACCTAAGTAACTCTTCCCCTCAATCCTCTCCTCAGTGCATCCTTACTCAACCACATCCTGCACCACACACACACAGCTGGTTACAAGCAGTCTTGCATGTTTGCACGCTTTATCGTGTGAGCAGAGAAGAAATCTGTTTGTATTCTTCTGCAGATTGTCATTGAAAGATTTTTAGCCATTGAACTTATCAGTCCAAGATATGACCTTATCTAGAACTGATGCCACCTCACACTTCCATTTGATAGAAAACTGAATTTTATTCACAAAACAAAAATCAAGTAGAATTATATAACCTGAATATCAGGTACTTTTTATATCACAACCATTTGTTGTTTTCTCATAAAGGGATTGAAATACATTCATTGTGTACAGTATAATTTAGATTATATATATTAGATATATAAAATTCATCACAACATATGGAGTAAATTAACACACAGAAGCATAGAATCTGATGTAGGACAGAGGTATTATTGCTGCGGTTGGCCTGGAAGTATCATAAAGGCCCCCATGAAATTGTCTTTAGATCCTTGACGCAGTTTTTGTATATCACTCAGTGTGACAAAAATTTTATCTCCCTTCTCCAGGTGAAAGATCCCAGCCAGGAAACTGTTCCACAGATCTTCCCCGCTTGGAGTCGTTGTACTCGGGGTTACCTGGGTCCGGCAGCGGTTTCTGGAGGAAACATGCCTAAGATGTCAGAAAGCAAACTTACCACATCATAATGAAGACAGCACTGATTTTAACTTGCATTCAAATGCACAGAAGCAAAGCCACAAACTGGCTGCACCCAAGTTTACTTGTGCACTTGTGAGCACATGTGCAGCCACAGAGGAAGGAAGTAAGGAGGGGTACACTGACAAACCTTTTTGATCTCATAAGCTCCATTGGTTTTCCGTAGGAGGCGGTGTATCTCATGACTTTGTGCTGAATAAGCGAACAGTCCTGTACAGCATTTACTGTCACTTTGGAGTAGAGGTAGTAGTAACCAGCCTTCACTACCAACAACCGGCCATTGTCATAGCCCATGTTGTAGGTGACAGCATCGCCATGTACATTTTCCCACAGCACCACATTGTCCCTCCCATAAGGATTACTGGAGCCTGGTATGAAGATGAGGAAGAAGAAAGGAAGAGTTAGTGTGAACAAAGAAAACAAAGGAGATCAGTTCAAATTAATCATTAAGATCATATACAATATTTTGGAGTGTTTAGAGGTGTCTAACCTGTCAGTTGAGCAAAGGGTTTCTGCTGGACCTGTTTCAGAAGTGGTCCCACTGTGGGAATCTCATTGGACTCTGTTAAAGAAAGCAGGGTCAATCAATCAATCAATCAATCAATCAATCAATCAATCAGTGGCTCATCTTAATCAGTTACAATAACAGAGAGTAACTCAATACCTTTATGTCCCACTTGACCCATTTTGGTGCCACCCTGAAACAGAAAAAAAGGTGTTAAAGCCAAAAACTCAACAACAACAACAATCCAAATCAGGTTGTGCGTCAGTGTAACTCATGGCTCAGCACTCACATATACACCCACACTTACCTGCTGGCCAGATGTTTGGGGATTGGACAGGTTCTGGCAGAGAGGATGAAACTTACAGATGGAAAATTCCTGCCGGGAGAGGATGAGATAAAAGAGGGTGAGAAATACAGGACAAACACGTGGGTGAGTAACAAAATCTGTGTGCGCTCGCAAGTAAGATGTCAAAAGTTCAAGGAGTACGTAAGAACAGGAAGTGTCCTGCCTTGTGGAAACCAAAAGAAATGTACACAGAGAGAAAGACATAAGGTCATTTGACACACACACTAAAAAACTAAAATATACATCGAGGCCCTGAAGTTTTAAAAAAGTTAAACAGAAAATACATTTTAAATGAGTTTAATCAAAATTGTGGTCTCAGCCTCATGTGATATACAGTTGACACGAAAACAACTTTCTGCCTTTGAAGTGAGCTATTGAGAAATATACAGGCTGGTAAGGGAATGAGAGTCATTCTGGGACACTGCACAGCCTCTATGGTTTGATTTTTAAGCGTAGTGCATATTACATAACACACAGAGTGTACAGCATAATAGCAGCAGGTGTGTAATAAACAACGTTATGAAACCGTCGTAGAAAAGTGAAGTTATATTGTGGGTTTGCACTAGAGAGAAAAGAAAGGGAAGTAGAACTAGAGAACAAGTCCATTTCACACATTTGTCATTCTGGACCTGCAACTTCAAGCGCAAATGACCACCCACTTAAAAATGTGTGTAGCTGTCCGGTAGTGCGCGTCTGGTGATGACGTAAAGGAAAATAGGGAAATTCTCGCGAAAAGGAATTTCCACGTGTTCCAAGTGCTTTGGGTTCTCACTTCACACAGACACACACACAGCCTCACCTGACTTTTTTCATACAGACTGTAGATGAAAATTCCCTCCACGACAAGTCCCAACAGGGCCAGTCCCACCAGCAGGAGAAGAAACTTTTGGCTTACTCTTGCCCATCTTGCTTTCCTTCCACTGGGCACAGAGACATAGTTGGCTTGGCTGTCAACCACAAATACCTGGGGGCATGTAGGCACACCGCCCTCTGCCATCCCACCAGATCACACTCCAAATGGGATGTTAGGGCTAAAGGTCAAAGGGTACGATTTGGTGCAGGGGACAGGTTCTGAAAAGACAAGGTTACAGTTAGGTAAAGCAAAAAAAATAAATAAATCTGGAGATAAGAAAGGCAGGGGGACAAGACAGGGAGAGGCAGTGGAGAGACAGAAACAAAGAAATACAAGACAGGATGAGAGAAAGACATGACACATACAGACTTGGCCTCGGGAGTTAAGTCTGCTGTGCTTACTAGGTACATGCGATGCAACCAATTTCTGGGAAATATATTTCTACACCACCTGACTACTGCAAGCACACAAGAAGAGGCAACTTCAACAAGTCCAATGTTTCAAAGAAAAAACCAATCCTATTTTTTGTTCAAGGTAGATCAGACAGAAATTACCTTGGATTTAAATGTGCACCAGATGTTCCCCCACAGCTCAGTCAACCATCCAGTAGCACAGGGTGGTTTTCACACTCTCCTTTCTGACACCTTAGGGATTTCAAATGACAAAAATGTCCCCAAACATTATGTTAAAACTGAAATAATATTAATGACATTCTCTGATATGCCACGGTGTATCACAGCTTCTCCATGCCTCACCTTCTGAGAAGATGAAAGTTCCTCCTCTGCACCGCTGCGGACAGTTCTCTGTGCTCCCTCACCTCTTGTGTTGCTCGCCTGCTGTCAGCTATCGCTAATATTGCTCTTTAAGCAAGCTCATGTAAGGAGGAAATGAAGATGACTTGGGGTAGAGAGAGAGAGAGGGTGAGTAGTGTGCATGTGAGAGTGTGTGTTTGTGTGGGACACTCCCTACGACTACTGAATATAGTTATCATCCCTCAGCTGACACTTCCTTTTCTCTTTCTTCAATTTCTCACTCCGTATGTGTCATGTTCTCTTAGCACTTTTGGTTTGTTTGTCTCAGTGTCTGTAGCAATTATTAGTTTTTTTTACTTGTCAGTTTCTGAGAAACTTGCACAATCGCTCAGTCTCACCGCGCCAGGCATTTGGCACTTTTTTTTTTTTTTTTAAACCCACTGAGCCACGCCGTGTGATTTTAAGTGTTAGAATGGCTGTGGAGGCTAACTTGAGGGGGGGTCAAGTTGTTAAATTCACACCCTTGCTTTTGACCACTACTCACAGCTGCTACCACAGCCTTGCACACTATCACCCACGGTCTAACTCATCTGCACCCTGATGCAACAGTATCACTCACCCTGAGCTCACATTTACAGAGACCGTCAGGCTGCTACTTTGTAAAATATATTCCTCCACAAAAATATTTACGGGAACTCGTGGTTGCTATCTCGTTTCAGCGAAGAAGTGGCAGTGATTTACAATGACTAATGTATTGTAGAGGATTGGAGACGGTGAAGAAAACCGCGGCTCAAATGCAAGGCCTCATGAGGCAACACTTTCTTTTTCCATGTTTACGGTCACTGTTTTTTTCTTTTTTTTCAATGATTGCTTCACTTTTTTTCTTCTTCTCTTCTTCCTTTTTTCCCGCATGTCTTTTAATCATGGGTGATTTATCACTGATTGTTTTCTGTTTCTAGGTACCATGTCCTTTCCCTGCTCTGCTATGCTTGCAACATCCCACGAAAGTCATCCCACATCACGATATGTCTGTGGACAGCTGAGTAGAAGTACAGAAATGTGGGCAATCTGTGTTATAATTTTTTTTTTCTTCTTTTTTGCTCTTCCTCTGAACCAAGTACTGTGAGACATACTTTCATCTCCCTCTCTTTATCAAACATATCTTTTCATATGTGCTTATGACTTTGCATGTTTTCCTATTTCCCTGCAGTTTAAATGTAAAATGTATTAAAGGTCCAATAAAGTATTTTGATTCTAAAAAAGCGATGATTCACACTTTGTAGAGAGTGAAACTTTTTTTTCTTTGCTGTAGGAGGGGGCAGTTTGACATGACAGACTCCACATGTTGAAACTACACTACATACACTTTGACTTACTTGCTACCCACACACTTTAACACACAAACATGCACGCACGCGCACACACACACACACACACACATGCACACTGTGTTCAGTGGAGATAAAGAGTCAGGGAGGACAGACGGAAGCCTACAGTCGGTTATTTCTTGATAAATGCAGTTATTGAAAGAGAGAGAGAGAGAGAGACGGACCTGGACATGTGTGGAACCCCAGAAGTAACTTTTTACATAATTAACACACACACACACACACACACACACACACATTAAATAGCACATAAAATAAGAATTTTTTTAAAAAACCTCTTCTCATACTCTCAGTGGCTTTCTATTATCTCCTCACTTTCCTATCACATGTTTAGTAATTATCTATTTCCTATTTTTGCCAAATAACATTTCCCATACTGCTCTCGATTCCCTTTTACAAACACACACACCCCTGCTTATATTATTTTTTTTTAAAAATATTTTTTTAGTTTAAGCATGAAGCGGGGAGAGCGGCACGATGGTACAGGGGTTAGCACTGTTGCCTCACAGGAAGAGGGTTCCTGGTCAGTGTGGGATTTCTCCGGGTACTCCGGCTTCCTCCCACAGTCCAAAGACATGCAGGTTAATTGGTCACTCTAAAATTGTCCATAGGTGTGAATGTGAGCGTGAATGGTTGTCTGTCTCTATGTGTCAGCCCTGTGATAGTCTGGTGACCTGTTGAGGGTGTACCCTGCCTCTCGTCCAGTGTCAGCTGGGATAGGCTCCAGCCCCCCCGCGACCCTCAAGAGGATAAGCGGTTAGAAAATGGATGGATGGATGGATGGATGGATGGATGAAGGGGGGAGAGAGGATGACATGCAGCAAATGGCCACAGGCCACAATCAAGTCTGTGGCTACTGCGGCAAAGACGTCGCCTTCGTATATGGAACACCTGCTCTACCCACTAGGCCACCAGGTGCTCCTGTCCTGCTTATATTCTTTATACTTCTTTGTTTCTCATTCATAAGGTATTGAGACTGATGTGCTGGTGCAGAGGACAAAGGTTGTTCAGGCTGTGGGTGTCTGACATTCGTACAAAAGGAATGCAGACAAACGATGTGTGTTGCAAACTGCATTCTCAGTAGGTGAGCGGCTCAGAGAATCAGCCGTCACTGGCATCCCTTTTGCTTTCACGGTCTGAATCTGCAGGGATGAGGCTGCTCAGGCTCGTGGGGAGGAGGGCTTGCACTTCAGGAAGAGCACAGGTGTAACTAATAACATTAATGATAAATCCATTCCATTCAGGTATCCCAGTTAGCCTTTAAAGTGAACCAGCAAGATTAACACCAGGGCCAAGCCTGGCTGTGGTTCAGCTAAATGACACGGTGCTATTACTAATGTCACAGCTATTGTCCAGGAGTCAATAATTCACCCGGGGGAATTCCACCAATAAAACAAAAATGCTTGCGTCACAATTGATCTATGTCAAAATTACAGCTGTGTGATACTTGCCGCTAATGACACAAAATGAGGGTGGTTTGTATATGTGTAATTACTGCTTAGGTAAACTGTGTTTGAGGACACATTCAAACTTCCCTGTAAATTGTTAACAAATAATAGCGGCTGAATTCCATTTAGCTGCTTCACCAACACATTCTCACACCGACCTTGTCACATACTGACATTTGGTCATGGACTTTCCACGTCCACATACGATGTGCAAGGTACCCTGTGTGCGTTGGCTGTTGATGTTCTTGGACACTGTGTCAAGTTTTGCCTGTTACACTGTCTCCTTTGAAAAAACACTTAAGTTTTCACATGAAATTTACCATTTACATACAGTCTCTTTAAAAATAAACGCACTACATTGGTACAACACTGCAATTTTTTTTTTCCTTCAACAACAAAAATACATGGTTAGGTTTAGGAAAAAAAGGACAGGGTTTGGCTTCAGAATGTTATGGTGCGTGAACACTGCTCTCTCGGGTGAAAGTTGATGTTTATTGGACCCATCCAGCACCCCTCCAGCCTGCCCCAGTTCGACTCTCGCTGTCTTAACTTTCGTCCTTGGCCCACCTTGTTTCCCCCTGACGGTGTTGACTGTAACGGCAACCGGCCACGTAACATGCTAACATTAAAGGGTTTTGTTGGTTTCTGACGCTGCAAGTCACTGCTTCACTATCATGGCTTACCAGGACTAAGCCATTGTTCCTGTTATTATCAACACCTGTGATTTTCCCACAATGTCCACGTTTATATGAACAAAATTTTCATTTTTTTTTCTGTATTCATAAAAAGATTCCTACTAAGCTGTTAAGATGGCAAATGAAAATGAATATTCCACTGATATTCTCGTTTACATGCAGCCTTGCTTATTGCGATTGGTGTGCCATAACATGTCGTTTATCATGTTACAATATGGAGAAGTGGAAAAATTTTGCTTCTTTGAATTAAAACTGGATTTTTTCCCACCGTTTTCCACAGACTTGTTGAACTGTGGGAACACAGCTTCCCTCTTTCATTCCTTTAACCACCCTCTTGGAAAGTTTGGCATTGTGATAGTTGCATATATCCAAAAACCTGTTAATGTTTAGAAGTAGGTGTGTTTCTACTTCCAAACAGAAATGTGGGCTTTTCTTTTGAGTATGCATCTCTACCTTAACCTTGTATCTGTCTGTTTAAAAAATTATAAATCTAGCAGGATGAATAAACCAATTGATGAAATCATTCTGTAATCTCCAAAACCTGCAATAAAGTAATATAATAAAAAAAACCTTGTATCTGTCTGCTATTTGGATTGTGTACAATGCATCCATGACAACACACAGAGCTGACCGTAATCTGGCAAGACGCCGTGTTTCGCAAGCAGCTGTTAAATTGAGATGCATATTTTGGATGCACTGTATGTCCAGAGAATGTTGCTACAACCTGAATAAAATCCAACATGTCTGATTCAGAAAATGATTAATTCAGAAAAAGGCCTAGAAAATCCAAATGAGACATGCTGATTGCATGACCTGTATCAAATTCATAATATTGTCATATCCGGAAAAAGAGGAATACTTGTGCGCATGTAAACATCACCAATGAGTCGTTAGAATTTCTGCTGTAAAAAAAGGCCTGATTAATTTCTGTCATGCAAGACATAGTGACTGAGTGAGCAAGGGAGTGATTTTGTACACAGCTTGGGAAAACTGTTATGGACACACTCCCTTCAGTTCAAAACGATATAAGACATTGTTTCAGTATGATGTTACTGATTCCATTACCAGGAGTCAATGACCAGCACATGCCAGTTGTGTCACGTTGTCACAGCCACGATATATGTCACGTCAAAAACCACAGTCAAAAATCCCCAAGCTGTGGTGTAAACTGTGTGTACTAAAAAAGCATTCATAAACTGTGCAAACTCAGTACTTTCATTTTCCTGTCAGGACCCTTATCACAGCGGCAGCTATGAAAATGAGTCATGGCTAGGTTTGTTTTGGGTGGGCTAATTAGCAAGCATTGACAATATTTACTGTTACTGTCTCTGCTTTCTAGCCAACAGACCTTCCCATCATTAAGTTGATTACCTGCAGCTGTGTCTGCCCTGCTGTGATATGTAAAAATGATCAAATGGATATGTACTGAGTGGAGTGCAAAAGTAGCGGCAGTATGTGTTTGACACAAGACACAACAACTGAAAGCATTAAATTAATGAGTGTTTGCATCCTGTGAAAGTGTGTGTCTACTGTAGTAAGTGCATGAAGGAGGAACTATCAAGCGTAATAAGTAAGGAAAGGAAGGCCTGTGTCACCTTATTTCTCCCCCCAACCATAACTAAATCTGAGATCATAATAAACAGGCTTTCTCTGAGCCTGACGGGGTTAAGGAAAGGATCATGCCCACAATAGGCCAGCTCCCCCATAAGGCTCTGTTGTGGCCCAGATGCTGGGTCAACATCAGTTACAATATACAGGATGTTGATGTTCATACTAGTAGCCACATGCTAACTCGCACAAAAGGGCTTGCCCACCCTGGTTCAAACCCCCCACCTTGGGTTCAAACCAGGAACCCTCTTGCTGTGAGGCAACTGTGCTAACCACTACACCACTGTGCTGTTTTAATGTGTTATGTGCAATATCTACACATGCCAGGTGATTCATTGTTCTTCAGATAGGCTGGTTGTCCTCTTCCCTAACAAGGACAAATGTTTGAATTTGAAGGAGTGCACTGATTCTACAGAACAAAACATTTACACGGAACAAGCCCTCTCAAGTTCAGGGGAGACTCATGGGTACCCATAGAACCTATTTTCATTCAGTTATATTGAGGAAAGAGTTCAAGGGACCCTTTTGAAAATGGCCATGTCAGTTTTTCCCAATAATTTAGCCTAACTTTGGAGCATTATTTAACCGTCTTCCAACAAGCTGACATGGATGGTGCCGATGGATACCTTAGGTTGTCTAGTTTTACAAGTTACCATGCACTGCAGCTTCTTAAAGACAATAAAATCAAAGTTCAGTTATTTTTGTTGGGGGAGACGAGCAAATGGCAAAGCTTTTACTTACTTAAATGCACACTTTTGCCATGGCCCCAGTACAATTGGTGGCCCTCCCACTCTGGAAAATAACTGGAGACCTATATTACTATCTAAGAGGGTGTGATGTATACTCATTTTTGAGCTAGCAGGAAGTAAGTAATATCTTGTGAACTTAAACAACCTAAGGCATCCATTAGTACCAACAATGTCACCATAGCTTGTTAGGAAAGTGGCTAAATAACACACACCTATCCATTAGGCTAAATCTTTTTATGAGGAAACAGGCACGGCCATATTCAAAGGGGTCCTTAGAATTCTCACCTCAAGATATCTTAATGAAAATGGTTCTACAGGTAACCACCAGTCTCCTCTAAATTTGAGAGGACTTGTTCCCAGTAAATGCCTTGCTCCTTACAATCAATGCACTCCTTTGAATTAAAGCTGTATATTTGTCTTTCTTAAGGAGAAGGACATTCAGCTTGCATATCACCTCTGACATGTATATGTAACAGGGTCAATTATACAGCAGTGATATGTGTGACGAAGTCAAATGTACATTTATAATATTAGGAATTATAATTACACAAAATTAGTTTCAGTTACCTGACATGCTTAGGCCTCCACAGTCAAGATGTGGAGTGTTTGATAGTCAGTTTCTGTACCCCTACATTCACCTTTGGAGGGACCCAACCTATAAAGGGGTACCTCCTGCCTTACCTCTCCCCATTTTGCTGTTGTACTCCACGGGAGAGGTAAGCGACATTGCTCTTGTAGTATTTTGTTTTGTTTTGGTGCTGTTAAGCTATAGGTTTTTCAGCCTAAACTTATTGTATAATATGCAAACATTTCCCTGTGTCACCTAATTTGTGTAAGGGCTGGAGTTATATGGTCGTAATTGATGGAGGATTTTGTTTTTACCTCTTGCTGTCAGGTATATTTTCTGTGTTTTATTGTACTGAATTGAATGTAACATGGCCGCCCTTTTTGCTGTTGTACTCCATGGGAGAGGGGCTTGACTTGTATGGTCGAAATTGACAGAGGATTTTGTTTTTACCTCTTGCTGTCAAAGTTGTCAGGAATAAACGGAGGTCGCCTCGAAAGATATCCACATTCTGGGCCTCTTCATATCAACACAATGCAGACAACACTAGAGTCCACCAGTTACATAATGATACATACGATATTAAACAGGATTGTGGTACTCAGATTTTTAACTCTGCTGGTATTGTGTATGCACATCAGCAAATTTGTAATATTAACTGTAAAATAAGGAACCAAAGTGTGTCATTATGCAGTTCCTTAACTCTAATATTGACACAGTTTTCGCTTATGCTTCAACAGCATATGTGAATTCCAGCATATGTAAGAGCAGATGTTTTGGTTTGGGGGATTTTTCAGTGGCCCTGTGTGGTCACCCCTATGAAAGTTTTCTGGAGGCCCCACTGACTATAGGTTGCACAGTTCATTAAAGTTTATTCAACACGTTTGTTTCAACAACAACAGCTGCTTCATAACCACAAAAGATGTAGCTGCAAAGTAAAATTTCCCGTCTATATCTGATGCACCTGCAAGACAGAATTTTCACAACCTGGCAACCCAGCTGTTGTTCTGATTAGCGCTATCGACGTATCTGAAAAACATAACCACATTATGATTTAACGTTTAAATGACGCCATCAGTGGCACCAGGTGGGGGATCACGGTTTCTGAGTGAACACCTCAGCCCTGCAGTGATTGGAGGAGGATTGCTACTCTTCCTCCTCTGATTGGCTCGCAACATCGTCGCCTCCAGCCAATCGCGTCATCGCAAAGTTCTGCTGCGGAAGAGGGATGCAAAGGAGATGGCTGAACTTAGATAGCCCTGTGTGTGGAAATATCTTCACCATGGACCTTCTCCGGAGGAAAGAGGCGAGCGGAGGGCGACTGCTCGTCCTCGCAGTAGTGTTGGGGTGGTGTTTAGGGTCTGTGAGCTGTTTCGGACAGAGCCTAGACAGCGAGTTTACGTTTCTGCTGCAAGCCGGAAGATCCGAGTGTTTCTTTCAGACAGCAGTAAAGAATGGTACGATGGAGGTCGAATATCAGGTAACTCTGTGTGTGTGTGTGTGTGTGTGTGTGTGGTCACACATAATCACTCACTGTGTTCACATTTACATGCTATATGTTGAAGGTTTACACCAGCGATACAGGGACACGCTAATGGCTAACATACCGTTATCCCTTTAGCTAGCTGACATGCTGACACCCTATAACTGCAGTTAATGACAGCTTCCTCCATTAACTTTATATCGTGGGAGTTAACGCGACAAATATAATAACCGCGTGACTGTAGCTCACATTTTCCAGAAACTGTGAATCAAAAAAAAAGTCCACAACTTCAAATTAAACTGTATATATCTAGTAACAGCAGACTGCAATCAAATAATGACTTCCCGACAGAGATGACCACACGAGCTTCACACACACACACACACACACACACACACACACAGATTAGAGATAGCAAAATACTCCACAGGAAATGAGATAATACACACATTGCTCGTGCCAAGTTTCAATGAGTCACCATGTGTATGAAACTATGTCTGAAAGTTTCAGATCCTGGTAGCCTCTGATCATCCAGCAGGTTGTTCCTGCAGCAGACCAGGAAAACTACAGACACTATGACAATTGTAGTTTCCTGGTAGCAGACAAGTTTTGGGTGAACTGAGTGGGTGAGGAGAGGGAAACCAAATGGCTGTTGTCTGGCATTTCATCAGACACTACTTTCAGCTATTCAAAGGTCAGCAGCAGAATGTTAAAGTCTGCTCACAGTGCTCATTTACTGAACAGGATGCACGCTCATTAGAGTTAATTTAACACTTTTGAGTGGTTCTGAGCAGCTGCCCCCCCAAGCTACAGGAGCTCCGTTTGCACAGGGAAGTCAACAGTCTACCACTGCAGCCAACAGATATTTTCAAAATCCAATAATCTGCAGAGTATTTATTTTCCATTAGTCATGAAAAATGTCAGAAAATAAAGAAAAATGTCCACCATAATGTCCCAGATTGCTTGTTGTGGCCAAAAACCTGTCCCAAATCCAGATAAAATCAATTTACTGTCACAGAAGGCAAAGAAAATGAGCTAGAAATGCTAAAAATAGTGACTTTGGAACATTTTTTAATCATTTCAGCTCTACTTCCAGCACCACATAAAACAATTAAACACTTACTTACACAGGGACACGTCTTGTAATGTAAAGTTCTAGCCTATTAGTCAGTGGTGTGTTTGTTAAGTGGGAGAGTCTCAATCCAAGAGACGACAGTACACTCTCTCTTAAAATGCACACGTAGTCTCTCTTGGAAATGTTTGACCTGGGGCATCCTGGTGGTGTAGTGGTTAAGATGCACATCATGTGACTACAACGTGCCTGTACCACCCAAGCTGGGGACCTTTGGTGCATGTTATACCCCTGTCTTTCTTCACATACAGTATTTTTCTGTCTTTATCTCTTTTGTCATTATCTAATGAACAAACATAATCTCAAAATCTTCTTCTTGTGAGCTTGTTGCTCAGTGTGTGTTTGTATTTGTGTGTGCACATCCAGGTGATAGCAGGTGCTGGTATGGATGTTGACTTCACCGTCATCTCTCCAGAAGGCAGCCAGCTTGTATTTGAGTCTCGACGCTCTGACGGAGTCCACGTGTCAGTGCGACCTCACTCAATCCTCGATTATATTTCATATTACAGAGCCAGCGGTGTTGGATCTGTCTGTTTATCTTTGACTTCATTTCCTGTTGTTGCAGGGTGGAGCCCACGGTGGAGGGAGACTATGAAATCTGTTTTGACAACAGCTTCAGTCGCTTCTCAGAGAAGATGGTGTTCTTTGAGATCATCATCGAGGGTCAGGGAGGAGATGTGGGTGGAGATGAAGAGTGGCCGGGATTAGACGAGCCTGATGGAAGCCTTCTGGAGTACAAGCTGGAGGACATCCGGGTGAGATGTTCGTTTGAGGTTTAAGAATACATTCAAAAAAGGAAATCTAGTTCACTGTGCAGCTGAACTCTTAATAACCCCCTGTTGTTGACACCAATGTTCACACAACGTCCAGGGAATAAGAGGAGAGATAGCTGCTGTGTAGGTGCAACACAGAGCAGATATATCATGTTTTAACTAGACATGAATTATATGAAGACAATTTAGTTCTGTCCTTGCTCTTGTAGTTCTCGTCTCTGGACCAAATACCATCATTAACGCTTGTAAACAGTAGTGGCAGAGCTGGGCAACTTTAAGTGGAGTAGCCAGGATTGGATATACTCTGGTGCCCGATCATTGGGAGCCTTGTATGCGATTAAAAGAACTTAAAAATGAATTCTGACAGAGACAGGAAGCCAATGCAGGGAGGCCAAAATAGGTGTAATGTATAAGGATCGTTCTGTTTTGGTCAGAAGGGTAGCTGCTGAATTTTGAATGATTTTGAGCTGATGTATAGATCGATTGTTTAGGCAGGTTAACAAGGCATTACAGTAGTCACGGCGAGAGAATATAAGAGCATGTATGATTTTCTCTGTGTTACTTAAGGACGGAAGTGACCTACATTTGGAGATGATCCTCAGCTGGTAAAAACAAGACTAGACTACTTTATATACATGTTGCTCCAGGGTCAAATCACTGTCCAGAATAACTCAGAGGTTTTTTACACCAGAGTGAGGGGGGCTGATGAGTGGCTGAATTTGCTTTTGAGATATGTTCAGGGCCAATGATGAGAACTTCTGTCTTTTCAGGGTTGAATTTTAAGACGTTTTGGGACATCCAACCTTTTATATCACACAGGCAACTATGAAGAGATGCTAATTTATTGGTGTCAGAGGGTTTAAAAGACAGGTAGAGCTGTGTGTCATCTGCGTAGATATGGAAAGAGAAGTTGTGATGATCTGTTATCTGGCCCAGGGGCAGCATTTACAGGGTGAACAGAACAGGTCCCAAAACTGATCCTTGTGGTATGCCATGTTTTAGCTGAGCACTTCTTGAGGAACATTCCCCAACAGTGACAAAAAGTTTCCTGTTGGTTATACGTGAAGAAAAGCAGTCCAGAGCGGTTTCAGTAAAACCTGCCCACTCTTTCAGTCAGTCTATAACACTGGAATGGTCAACAGTGTCAAAAGCTGCACTGAGGTCAAGCAACATTAACACAGAACATGCACCGGAGTTTGCAGCCATCAGTAAGTCATTTGTGACTCTTAGGAGCGCAGTTTCTGTGCTGTGCAGCTTGCGAAAACCACACTGAAGTTTTTCAAATACATCGTTGTTGTTGAGTGTATGTAATAGTTGGTTCAGCACTACCTTTTCTAGGATTTTAGATACAAAGTTGAGTTTGGAGATAGGCCAGAAATTTTTCCAAGTCTGGGGGATCTAAACCAGGTCCCTTCAGTAGTGGTTCAACAAAGACAGTTTTGAAAAGATCAGTTACAACTTCAGATGACAGAGAACTCTTGATGATAGTCAGCAGCTCAGGGCCGAGTGACTCTGTTGTGTCTTTAAACTGATTTATTAGGATAATATCAAGGGGACTAGAGGAGGGATTCATGAGTGACACAGTTATCTTAAGTTCCTGCAGTGATAGTGGTCTGAAGCAATCCAAAATAAAGGGCAATTTTAGGCACCTACAACACATAACTCAACACAGATTAAATAATCTATACATCCAACACTTTTTTCTAATTCCTGCAGGTAAAGTAAGAAAGAAACTTACACTGTTGGTAAGAAATGCATGTGTCCCAAGGTACAGAGTATTTACTGCTCTGAGAGCAGATGTTCAGCACAGCGTATGGTGCTCAGCAGCACTATAAGGCCTGGGATACACTACTATAGTACTCTATAAGGGTTACTGAGACACAGACAGATGCGTAATTAAACTTTTTTTTTTTTTTTTTTAGTCAAAGTCCGATTACATTATATGTAACCAATAAATACAATAAACATAACGTGTCACAGCAAAGCTAACCAAATAAATGCTCATGAGATTAACTGCTAAACTTACCAAGCCATGACGAATGTCTCTTTATTAAAGACAAGCTAATTGTGATTGATTTTAATAAAGCTAATGTAATCAAGTTACTGTAATAGTATGTTTAAAATGGCAGCAAATGAAAGTATCCTTAAGCAGAGGTTGGAGTGTGTTTGCTGTAATGTTTTTAGGATTATAAAAACAAGCCCCTACTAGGAAGCCAGGTGGTAATGATACCACTGAATTACTATTTGTAATAAAACAGAATGTGCTATCATACATTAATGAGCAGTGGGGAAACACCTGGACACTAACATTAGGTCGGCATCGTGCATGACAAAAAAATATTGTCTCCAATTTTCCTGATTAAAAAATATTCAAAATATAATTTGAATTAAATTGGTTTGACTCAGAATGTCAAAATACTTTTTTTGTGCCGCCTGCCTCCAGATTTGTTTGCTCTAAACTTCGCTAAAAAGGATACAGTCATGGATGGAGTAATTAAAGGCGTTGAAAAGCAATCTGCCTTCTGACATTATTATCTTACCTGTAATCATTTGTTGGTTTACTAGACCGTCACTGCCCAGCTGTAAAGTCTCCAGAGGCGCTCATGGGTGTGCACCTAAGTGGGTGTGTGTACAAACTTAAAATGCGCCCCAGGTGTGTTGCATCTGTACAGAAATTGATCCACTTCTTAAAAAAAATAAACATTCTGCCCAAGAAAAATTCCCCAAAAAGGCAATAACGACTGCAGCTGATTTTTGTCCACCAGCCATTAGGCTTTCTTGATAATTCGGCTGTTCAAAGGATGAGGCTAGCATTATTTTGTGTGTTTCATATTGTCAGCAAATCCCATGAAAATACCCAAACCAACAATCCACTGATCCTACTAACGCGTATCGTCTCTGTAGCCAAAGCCTGATATTTATATTGTATCCCTCTGTGCCAGAGAGCTTTGTTGTTGTCCAAAAAATGATTAAAAAAAACACATCAGTGAGCCTCATTGTTGCACTGCGTGACATGTTCCTGCATCATGATGAGCAAATGTACTGTTGGTTATTTACAGTCAGTCCCAAATACGCTGTCCTGTTGCTGTAAATACTCACCAGAGCATATTAATCCATGGCTGAAAATAGATTTCTTCTTCTTCTTATAATGTTTGCTGAAAACTACAGTGGCCAGCCGTGCGGTAAATCATTTAGACTCATTTTGAAACTATAAATCTCTGGCCCGTTGTTGTTTTGTCTTTAGGAGGAACAAACTGAGCTTGAGGCAGAGTGCCACAGACAGGTTGAGGAAGTGGGAAAGTATTGAAAGACGCAGTCTTGGTTTTGGGATCTGCTGACATTATGGAAAATATAAAATACGTCAGTTGTAACCTTTAACTAAGATGTGTCTCCTAGAAGAGTCCTACCAGCTAACAGCAGCTGGAAACATTCAGCTGCTCTGTGGGTCAGGCTAGTTAGACACAACCACAGTGATGGTTGCATGACCCAATATTATGGTTTGCCCGCCGACACAGTTACCATGACCTGCAACAGAGGATGTGTCGATAGTGATTGAAAATTCTGTGTACTTTTGTGACTGTTTTCTATGTTTCTTACTTCTACTTTTCTGTCATTACAGCCACCACTTTTTTTTTTAAATACCCACAACTTTTCTTGCAATTTCCTCAGGAGTCCATGGACTCTCTGCACAGACGCTTGGAGCGCAGCCGGCAGATGCAGACTGTGTTGCGGGCTTTTGAGGCACGGGACCGAAATCTTTTGGAAGACAACCTGTGGAGGGTCTCATTCTGGTCCTGCGCCAGTGTGCTGGTGATGTTGTGTGTGGCTCTTACCCAGGTAAACGAAGCACTGACACACCACACAGGGGAATATGGCTATTAAACCGGTAAAAGTTTTGGCTAATCAACACCATGCTGTCTGTGTTTATTTCTCCATTTCCCAGGTCTACACTGTCCGTAAACTGTTTGACGACAAGCGGAGGGTCTGCACATAAAGGGATTATTTCGTCACAATTAAAGACAGCCTTTGAAGAAGAACAATCCAGTACAAGATGTCCAGCTGGTTACCCGTTCAGATTATGCTCCAATATCTTTTCTTTGGTCTGTGTGAACACCAGCATTCAACACCAGTTTCAGTGGATCTTATTTTATTTCCAAAATCTCATTTAAATCAGTTTGTGAGCAATAATAACATACTATGAAGTCATGAAGGGTAACCAGATGAGGAAGATAAACTTGGTTATTTCATTTCATTAGTGCCTTTAATGCCAAATCTCACCACAAACCAATGAGGAAATGCATTTTAAAGGCACTGCCCGCATAGAACGATAACCGTTGTAGTATAGGTGTCCTTTGTTTCTGAAACTGACAAGAGGTTTTAGGAATTTTTCATTAAATGTTAAATTATTGTTGCTAAAGGTTAAAGGTCGGTTAAATGACACACCTGAAAAACTGATCCACAGAACTCCGAGTCTGCTGGTTTACAAGGGAGAACAGTGTGCAATAGTGTTGTTGGTGTATTTTTCCTGACAGTTAAAAGGGGACCTATTGTGCTTTTCTTTATGGTCATAGCTCCAGGTATGCTACAGCAAGTGTTTACATTACCCAATGCTACATGTAGCTACATGCTTACATCAGGCTGACATGTAAGCTTGGGCACTAATGTTGTTCGTATCCTCTGATTTCGGATCAAATTCCTGCTGGAACGTGTCCGGTTGTATTTAGAAGCTTTTATTGGTGGCTTTTCATGGTAGAAAGTGCTGCTTTTCTCTGTTAGCTGCTACATGTAGCTACACCCTAACGTCAGAAAACATGTAATCTTGGTTACTGACGTTAATTTCTCCCTGATTTCAGATCATTTTCTTGCTTGAGCAGGTTTGGTTGATTTGGTTATGGTGATTTTTCATGGCAGAAAATACAGACACAGAAACACTGACCAGTCAGAGCAGACATGGCTTTTTTGGGAGGCAGGCTTAAGAGACAGGAGCCAAACATAGCGTTTCAGACAGAGGGTGAATACAAGTGTTCCAGCATAGACAGTGTGAGGAAAATAAAGTGTTGCTTGACTATCAAAGCGTGTAAACATGTTTTAATAAAGGCCCAAAATGCAAATATGAACCTGGAAACAAGCACAATAGGTCCCTTTTAAGATCTTTCCTTTAAATCAGTGATTTGTCCAACTGACCGGGTGTTTCCTTGGTTACACCCGTGTTAATGCTGAGGTTTTTTTTTTTTGAGATGTTACTGACTTCTTTTCGCGTGCCAGTTCAAGTCCATGCTGACAAATAAGAATGTAGAATAAGAAGGAGATGTGATTTGCAGTGTGATTGCCAGTAATGTACAATATGTCAGTACTCTTCCAGATAAATACGTATGTGTATGTCAGTTCAGACATGTATCAGGATAATTCAGTGTGAAGGTACTGATTGTTAGATGTGTGTTTGTGTGATTCTGGCTTCGATCTTCGACATGATCAGCTTTCTTTATTTTTCAGATGTATGTTTGTGATAACAGAATGTGATATTTCGATTCTGCTCAGCCACTGAGTGTGTTTTTTTTTAAAAGTAAGAACAGGCATTCATTTCATGTTCTATAGAGTAAGTAAAATCAGGTTTACATGGGAGTCATTGATATTAATAAATGCATTTTTTACACAGGAAACACTTGGTGTGAGTCATCTTTGATGGATTCAAAATGGCAATACACAGAATAATCTTTAAATGTGTCTGTGATGATTATATCGTGAATGTTAATCATGAGAAGCTGCCACATTTCATGATCAAGTGACACAGCTTTAAACCCCAAGAAACACTATTTATTTCGTCATTTTTTGTATCTCTTATTCACACTTAATTTAACATAACCCTGCTGCCTGAGACCAAACATGCACACACACTTTATTTCTGCTGATGTAGCTCCCCCTAATGTCTGACCTTAAAAAACATTTTCAAAAACAACTTTGACATTATCTGACATTAAGTTGAAGTTGGTGTAAAGGTTAAATACCAAGTTTATTTGATCACATACTTTAAGTATCAGCATGATTTAAATGCACTTGTCGGTGAGCAGAAATACTTTAAAAAACAAAACACTGGATTTGTTGAAACTGTCCAATTTCCAAGTTACATTGAGGCAGTTCTGCTTTATAATGCTGTGTAAGCCTGCCAGAGAAGAGCCTGGATCTAAATTTGTAGTTCGTAGTCACAGATGACATTATATAGTATCTTATGAGTATAGAAAAAACATGCATGAGGATTGTAAATTACTTTATTCTTTAGTGTTGAAGGAAGAAATAACAACATACTGCATGTGCTGTGCTTTCTGCCAAGTTTGCTTCAAGATAAAATTTCTTGATGTTTCAATTTGGCACACACAGGTTTTTCTCCCATATCCTAGTTGACCCATCCATCCCAAAATTTGGCACACATTTCAACTGAAAAAACATCATGAGATAAAGTATTTCAGTAGTACTTACATGCAGAAAAAAACAGATTATCATTTCTCTATAGTATATATTTAATATTGGAAACACCATATAAGCTTAATAACATTTATTTATTTGCAGTAGGATCATTCTTAGGTTGTGGACCGAAGCAGGATGTCAGCTTTGATCCAGCCACAGCCTTTGTTGTTACTCTGCATCCTAAAATGTCTTATAAAAAACAACAGTTTCAGAATCAGGACATAAAGCCAGACTCTTCCAGCTCATGCTGACTGAGACTGTCGTGTGGCTACAAGTTGGAGTGCTCCACATCTGACTTTCTGTCACCAGTGGTTGGGACGAGAGGGGACATGCGGAGGTCGCCTGTGTGAGAAGACCATGACAAGAAAACCATGATAAGATTTTTTATGATCAGTTTCTGCTCACCAGTGGATCAGTACGAGCTGACAGAGAAGGAGAAGATCTCTTGGAAACAGAAAGATTGCATACCTTTATTCATCCCTGCTTGACTCTACGAACAGCCCAAAAAGCATTGAGTAACACTGTCTTTAATGTGTGTTGCTACTGGCAACCACGGTTGCTACGGCAACCCACAGCTCCATCATACAGCAAGGTAGGAAGGAAGGGAGGTCATGCCAGGCTGCACACAGAAAAGTGAAATGTTCTTGTTCTGCATGGCCGTCTCCATTTGACTACTGAGCGAGTCAAGAGGTGACCCGAACTCTGTTGTGTACATAATACTCAGTGAGCTGTGCGCTGACGCTATCATACAGTGACAGGATGTACATGTCCTACATGTTTACTGTCATGTGTATGGAAATGGCAGATCAAACAACAACATAGCAGACAAAGAAAGGCTCGGTAGTGCAGTTACGACAAGAAATGAGGCAAAAAAATGTCTAACAGCAAAAACAAGCACCAGCCAGCACATCTTTGTTTTCTAGTCCTTTATTCAGTCCATCACTTTATACACCTTTTTCCTTTCATGATCCGTTTTTTCTCATTACGACTTTTTTAAGGTGATAAGAAGTAACTACAAAATAATTTTTTCTCAAGGCACTGAAGAATGAGAAGTGGTGGGAGGTAACTGTCAGGACATTTCACCGGGCAAGGTCACCTCAACTACTGTATAATTATCAGTAATACACTGGAAGACGCCGCACGCCCACTGCTGCGCTTTCTCCCAACACCCTTCCTCCTCCTCTGTCTCAGCTTTAATTGGTCCACAAATAAAGAAACACAGAAACTGTATTATGCTTGAAAAATCTTGTAATAAAAGTAATTAGCCGAAATACTGAAGAATACAAATTTCATTGGTCAGTCTGATTTTAATAAGCTCATCTGGAGGCTTTGAAAATCTACCAATGAAGAAAAGAAAAAAGACTTAATCAGAAAGTGCGGCTTACTTAATGAGGTGCTTAGTGTGTAAGATCACGGACAAATGTTAGCACGTATTCATCTCACAAAAAAACAAAATCTAAGAGTTTTCTTACCATTATATAAACGTTAAGAGTCGTATATTGTTTTAAGACACATTTCATTTCAAAATATTCAAGATGACCTGCTGGTTCATAACCTTAAATCAATAAAATCATCAAATTTATCCCTTTTCATAACACAGAATGCAGAAAAGCTCTCATATCTTTGTTAAAAAATAAAACTAACTACACATTAAGTCAAAATTACATACATAATGCTTCTGAAATGCACAGACTGAAACAGCATCAGATTACCAATTACAGTAGGACAAAGTTTGCAGTTATAGGAATATACATGAGAAAAGAAAAGAGAAATATAAAAGTTTAAACAAAAAGTAATGTTTTAATATGTGTGTGTATGTGTGTGTGTGTGTGTGTTTCTAGTCAAGCAGGGAGGGCTCTGATGGACGTATGACAGTGGGTCGGTTGGGAGCAGCCGGGGGTCTTCTGCTGCAGGAAGAGAGAGGACGAGAGGTGTTGGGGGAGGGGGAGGAGGAGGAGGAGGAGGAGGAGGAGGAGGAGGGCGAGGGGGAGGGGGAGGGGGAGAAGAAACATGCAAGGAAAAATATCATCATATAGTCATGCGCCAAAGATTCCCCAAAACACCAAAAGCCAGAACACAGAGTTCAACCCTTCACCAGCAGCCTCAGTTGCCCCAGCAACTTCCACCAATACCAAATCCACAAAAAAAGCATCAGATTGTATGTGTGTGTGTGTGTGTGTGTGTGTGTGTGTGTGTGTGTGTACGATTTTACCTTGGAATCCCTGGTGGCAGTGCAGGAGGCACGCGGGCCGGCCTGGAAGGAACAAGAGGCACAGAACCAGAGTTGGGATCGCCTGCGTATGCCGTTTGGCCCGGGGGTCGAGACGGTACTGGCGGCGCTCCGAACGCTGGTGAAGGGTTGAGAGGGGGCGGAGGACCCGGGGTGGGCCCCCTCACTGCCGGGGGTCGGCTAGGAGGGGGCGCTGTTGCTGAGGCAGGGCGGGACGCCGGTGGACTGAGACAGGGACAGAATGCTAATGAGTGAGGAGTTACATTTCATATGAGGTGTCCTTGATTACACCATCAGTTCACTGAGGACTGTTAACATGGAAGATAAATCTCACTGTGGCTAATCAGTCACATTATTAGGACCTATAAGAGCCAATTAAACATAATCTTATATTATTTTACGTTATTTGTTGATGTCATATGTTCTCATAACATCATCAACTTCTATGCATATTTTCAATAGGTTGATTACACAAAACTGATGATTGAATGACAATTATATGCTTAAATACAAGAACATATTATTTGAGGACACATTATTTCATTTATTTGCATCAGGTGGTAATACCCTGAAGCTATTTTGGTGTGCAAATATAAATTTGTGTAGCAATAACATGATCCCGATTAAGAGAGTCTGCAGCTCAGGACCCCAGAGATTTAAGTTATTCATCATCAAATGCACAATAATTACAGAGGCAGTCGCTGTCTCAGGCTCCCTTGAGCAATGCTAATTAAATATATATATATATATATATATATATATATATATGAAGAAAATCACAGAAGTGACTAACAAAATGAGAATATAAGATAAAATATAATATAAAATCATGCAAGTTAAAATACAGGGATAAAATATAACGATAATAATGAATAATGAATGTGACACAATGTCTGTGTGTCCCCTTTATGGCTATCTGATTGGAGATGTTTTACAAAGAGATTTTTTTTTACATAAACACATAACATAAACAACAATCTTCCCTTCGATTTTTATTTATTTATTTATTTTTTTGCCAGACAGGACACTGTATAGTACAATACTCAACATGTCAGTGGCCTCTAGTGGCCAAACTATGTAATGGTGACACTGCTTCTAAAATTACCTTGAACCCAGTTTGGCTTGTCTGCACGGACATTTCTTTTAACACCAGTGTTGTGCAAGTGAATAAAGGTTCCCTTAAAAGTAACTGAATTACTTTATCAATTACTGCATATAAAAGTAATTAGTTGCAAAGGAAAGTAACTTTTGCTCTGCCTTGTAATATCTGCTTCAACTCTCTCATTGATGCACACATACATAGCTATATTATTTTGTGCTGCTGTGGCACTGTTAAATGTTATCTATGATTATTCATTATCAATATGATGAAACTTAAGTATCTGAACAATAAAACATGACAGATATGTTAAGGCCTATTTATTTGGGTCTGGAGAGGCCTTCAAATAAAGCAACACACGTCAGATTTTCCTCATTCCGCAGAGTAAAATGACATTACGACTGTGTATCAGACATGTGACAGTGATTTCTCATCATGAAAGGCCTAATGGAATTAAACTGATAAAAGCTATTTAATAAAAAACACACTGAGCTTTATCCTTTGTAACCTTAACAGTAATTCAAATCCAGCACACAGACTGTAACTCACAACTACAGACCTATTTTTGTCCTTGATCTCGGAGTGATAAATTATGTCGATATTTCCAGGGCAGAAAGCTCAAATGACCTGAACTGTCAGCCGCTGTGTGCAGTAACAGTCTTGTGCTGATTGATTGATTCTCACAATTTATTGTGTAAGGTCGGGTGAATCACGCCTGTACATTATACTGTATGTGTGCAAGTTGAACGGTGGGTCCTGCAATGTTCCGAGTAACGTTACTGATAACTTGAAGTACTGGGTGCAACAGTTCACCTTGCGTCTCTCTTCCCCTCTGTGTCTCTTTCTCTTTCACACACACACACACACACACATGACAGAGGGTTTTGAGCATCACTTAAATGAGCCACACATCACTGCGGGTAATGTTAGATTATAACCAGGAAAACTATCTAGGAAACAGGCTGAGTTTGTCTGTCCATTTAAATTCCAGTAGCTGTAATTGTAATATGTAATTTGAAAAAGTAGTAAGTTACATTCCTATCTACCACCAAAAGTACTGGAATCACAGTTACTCCCAACACTGCTTAACACAGATACAAATATATCTGCAATAAGCCAACATCAGCCAATGTATTTGTGTGTATTCGTGTTTGTTACCTTGGTTCCTTGATCCAGGTGTCGTCTACTGGTGGAGGCACTGGGGTGGAAACAGTGGTGGTGCTGATGTCTCCGATGAGGACCAGGGCCTCTTTCAAAGCATGATACATCCTCAGCATCTCATCTCTCCTCTGTGCCTGCTCTGCTGACTCCTCCATCAAGCTGCCCTGGTCCCCGGCCGAGTACAGGTAGGCCAGCAGCTCAGAGTGGATGAAGTCCTTCGCCTGGAAATAGAGGAGGAAAAAGTAGGTTAAGAAAGAGCCACCTATGTTACTGCAACTCCTTTTTGTTTATCATACCTCTTTAGATCTAATATGACTAATGGGAAAAAGATAAAGCAGAACACATACACTGTTGATCATGAGGTGCATGATGGTCTTGGGCATGAGGTCTCTGATGGACTTGTTGACGATGCCGATGTACGAGTCCACGAGGTTGCGGATGGTCTCCACCTGCCGCTCCAGCTGCGGGTCCATGGACACGGTGTCGCTAGGATTCATCGCGTCTTCGCTCTCAACCTGGAGACAGAGGAGGAGCGGTGAGGGGTGCAGCGGCAGAGATGTTTGGTTTGTGTGAGTGTGATCCGTTAAAATAAGTTCTAAGTTTTTGTCTGCACACTTTGTACTGGTTTGAAGTGAAAAATGTGATGTCACACTTCTGAGCACCAATAAGGATGAGGCACCATTTGAATCAGAATGGGATGGATGCGAGTGGGTTGTGTGAAACTCTTAAATTAAAGGAGCTGTATTTGGGTATTCAGAGCATATCTATAATTCAGAGTCTAAATCAGACATTGTCTGCACATTGTTTTCAATATGGAGGCAGCTGAGCCAGAAAGCCGCTAATGGAGCTCCATAACCAACGCTAACAACGGCAACAGTGCTGACAGAGCTAACAGTGTTAACCAGCGAGGAATCAGAGGGTGGGCGTACTTAAGATTTGTCCACCGTGATACAAATACAGACGAAGGCACTTCTGTTTTTCTTCAGTTTCAGCATTCCGTCCACACTACACCAGTATTTTCGATCTTGTTGGATACACTCTCTTTAGTAAACGACCTGAATGTATAATAGCACGGGAGGTAAACAGTGGGAAGCTGTGGCCTGGATATTGGATCCCCCAGAGTGCTTTCTGGACCAGCAGAGCAGTGAATTGAATGAGCAATTGCACACAATGTGGTTGTGTGGCAGGGCTTTGCTAAAAAAATACAAAGAGCATCTGTGCTCTGCAAACGTACTCCAGCAACATTTCAATTTAAAGACAAAAAAAGTAATGTAATTTGAGTTGGAAAACTTTGTTCACAAACTTTTTTCACCCAAATTTATGCAAAGAGTCGACAAAAGTAAGTAAAAAATCCTCCGATGTTCTGTTTATCTTTAAATATACTTATGGAGCATTTCAAGAACAGCTGGAGTCCTTTGTAAATACACTTTGTTAACTGCCTACAGTATTTGAAATGCGAATTCACTCTGGTGTACCTGGTCTTTCTCTGGGTAAACACCAGCTCTGAGGAAGGAAGCCTTCCAGCTGTCTACATCCTCCTGAGTGTCACATGCCAGCTCAATCTGACGCAGGTCTTTATACACATTCCTGTAACACACACACACACACACACACACACACACACACACACACACATACACATTAACCAAAGATCAGAGCAGATACAACACCATCAACATGATTGTTTTGGAGGATCATAGCATACGCACCTCTGCTCTGTGTTGAAGATGGCAAAGACGTGCTTGCTGGACATGAAGCCCTTCTCCACATCTCTCAGTTTCAGGTTATCGAGAGGCAGCATGTACTTCTTCTCTTTCTCCTGTTCAAACACACAGTGATGTGATGATGAATATAAAAGAAGGCAGACTGTAACAAATAAAACATTTACTATCCGTGACACATGATGACTTCAGTTTTACTGTAGTGTTACTTTACGAGATGCTGGAAATTTTATCTTCGAAAACAAGCCCGCCTCCTTTCTGTATACTGTATTTTGTTAGGTTTTGGATGTTGTATTATCATGAGTGTTGTCTTTTCCTGGTTTTAAAGGCTGCATTATAGTAAAGTGATGTAATTTTCTGAACTTACCAAAACATTTCTACCTGTTCTAGTATTTGTCTTTACCCACTTCATCATTATATCCACATTACTGATGATTATTTATTTAGGCGACACAGTGGTACAGTGGTTAGCACTGTCGCCTCATAGCAAGAGGGTTCCTGATTCCACCCGAGCTGGAGTTTGCATGTTCTCAACGTGGGTTTTCCCTGGGTACTCCAGCTTCCTCCCACAGTCCAAAGACATGCAGGTTAACCAGTGACTCTAAATTGTCCGTAGGTGTGAATGTGAGTGTGAATGGTTGTCTGTCTCTATGTGTCAGCCCTGTGAAAGTCTGGCAACCCCACAATATTGTCGCAATAACGATATTGCGGTATTTGGTCAAAATAATTGTGATATCTTTCCATATCGCCAAGAATAAAACAAGAAGTCACAAATTTTCCAATCATTTAATGTCCCATAAACAGCCTTACCTCCTCGTCTTTGTACCAGGATAGAGACTCAGCGGTCAGGACAAACCAGTAGTCCTTGGATCCTCCCTTCATGATACTGATGTTGATGGTGAGCCAGCCTCTGCGGATCACCTGCACACGAGAGCCCAACAGTTGACTAAACTACACACCCCACAAGAGGGGTAATATGTATCTACAGAGAGCCAACAGAATACTAGAAACAAATGAAATTAAAAAAAAAAAACACAGAGAATTGGCATCAAAATACAGCACAAGAAAAGCCATGCGTGTGCAACGGTATTTTTCATTTACAGTAAGAAGAGCAGAGTGCAGTCAGATCCACCCATACTGCATGAAACTGAAAACACACCACAAACAAACAGAGACATAAAAATAAATGTTGACACACTCCAATTAAAAGTCACCTTCTCTGCATCCCTCTCTCTGTCAGACTGACGGACAGGAAGACAAAGGGAACAGACACACACACAGGGATAATAAGCAGACGTGCAATACCCAGTTCTGTGACAATGAGTGTATTTTACAGTTGGAGAGTTGGCCGTGCACCAATTTGTCTCAGTGGCAAACTGAGGTGCTGCAATAAAACATTCCCCTGCGGCCTAAAAAGCATGCTCTCCCTATACTGCCATTATAATCAGAGCTATTCAGGCATAGACAAGCTCGGCACCAAAGAGCCGGATTTCTTTGACACCCAGTCTACTTTTAAGTAGGTCCCTCTTATGTCTATGCATGCATTTCATTGTTAAATAAGCTTTATGGCAATGCTGTAACATACAGCTGATTGTGAGGTGACTCTGCAGGCTGACTCTATATGGGAACACTTTAACGAGGGCTGAAGCTCAGATAAAACTGCTGGCTGTTGCTTACTTTGTGACTCACACTTTATTTGTTCACACTGCCATGTAACAATCAAAGACATGGATAACAAGACAGGCTCCGTATGTTCCATCACATCCCACATATGATCAAAAAATAAAGAACCAAAACAAGATGAGGAAAAACTTTTTCCCAGCCTACTCGCTGGGTGAGAAACTTGGAAAACTGGGATGAAAGGCCACCATCTTGTTACAGGGTATCTACTCCTCATGATATATCTGTAAATGTAACTCTTTCACTTCCCTCTTCTCCATCAAGGAGCACAAATCCTGTTTCTCGACATGGCCCCGAGTGACCGTTGACTCCCCCACCCACCCAAAGAGGAAGTGACAAATGGAGGTGCAGAGGGGGTACGGTACTTACAAGAATCTCTCCCTGGGCCGTAAAAAGGAGGAACAGAAGAGGAGAAAGAGGAAAAGGGAAATGAAGAAAAAAGACAACACAGGCACAGACTAGAGTGTGTAAATGTGAAGCAACAAAGGGCAACAATGGAAAGGAAAGATGGGCTGAGACAACATAAAGAACAAGAAATAAAAAGGAGGAGAGAGCAGCTGCTATGATGCTTCAGTGGTGTGATAGCTTTACGTGGTGTGGTGAGTTACCTGATTGGGCATGACTCTCTTCTTGGTGGCGTTGGCAGCGGTTCTTTGCTGAGCACTGCAGGAGAGACATTCAATAACATAAACTCTGGTATAATATAATCCAAGGATGAAGGAATAGCTCAACAAAACCACATTACATTATTTAAATATTTATGATATCACTACTACTATTGTTTTCATAATCTATTATTCTGCCCAAGTTAATTTGGTCTAGATCTCAGAAAGATCTCAGTGAACTGGTAAAAGGTGCCCATCACAATTTCTGTCTTCCTAGGAAGTTTGACCGATCTGCATGAAACTTGGTGAACATAATCTAGGGACCAATATCTAAAGTTCCCTCTTGGCAAAAGTTGGAAAACTTACTAAAACTGAGCTTCTATAAGGCAATGAATATTGTGGAGGGCGTGGCTCATCACATAAAGGTGTATAACATCTCAAGGGTTTCACTGATCACCATGCAACTCTGTAGGCATATGACCACACATAATCTGAGGGGACCCCTCCATTATTGACCCAATCAAACACAATGTGGGTGCTAGAGAGCTAATTTCATATCTAGGCCTAACCGCCATATCCATGTAGAACAGGGCGCCTCAAGGTGACTGGAGAAACTTAACTCAACTGGGCAACTGGGTGGCGCTATAACAACAGAAAAATGCTTAAAAATAGCTAAAATGTGACTGATCGCTGTGGCTCCCCCCGTGGCTGAATGTTTGTTTTTTTGCTAATTTTTGGTATGACTAAGTCATGGTATGGTATGCTGTACATAATCACGGACGGATTCCAACCTCTACCGCTGCAACAAGGGCTAGCCACACCTTTCCCATGTGAACTACCAGTGCGCCCCACTTTTAAGTCAATACAACATATAAACACTTTAACTATCCGCCTTTCAACGTGCTACCTCAACTACTAATGTACAGTTTTAGCCCACTAACTATCCCACTATTGGCAATGGTACTACTGTACTTTAAATAAAGCAATCGTACTATCACGTTCATAAAACCTCTGTCTGAATACATTGCTCTTCTTAATGGGTTCAGTTGACTATTTAATCTGCAGTTTCCTATGACCTGTATCCCAAACACACACCATGTGAAACTGTACGTGGACAACTGTGTAGTGGGTATGGACTAGTCTCAATTATTTTTACATTTTCTCAAAAGCACTTAATCAATGCTAGAACTGGGAGACAAATCACCAACAATGATATCAAAAATCTAAGACACTATATAGTCTCATGTGTCAGTAATGATATAAAATCTTCATATTGCCCAGCCCTATTTTAGCTATTAATAAAATCATAAACTCTTAATAATATACGTAGACTTAATTATTTAGGTCATTGCCTTCATGTTTTTACTGTACCCAAAGTCACAGATGCAGACTAGTGGTTAGAAAAAATGATCTAAGTGTTTGGATTTTGTACTTTTGGATATCTTCAGAAAAACAGTTAATTATAGGAAAATGTGCACATATTTTTAAACAATCTGTGTTTCATGTTTAGGCAGTTTTAAGAAGCACTGCTCCCACAAGCTAGCAGGAGAGCTCACTGTTCAACTCCACAAGTCTGAGAAAAACAGAAGTATCCCTGTAAAGGACGACTAGTGCAGCTGTATGTGCTTCTACAAATTCTTCTCGGTAATGTTGACTTTGCGGTTTTGAAATACAAATGGTGGTGATATTAGTAAAAGCTCAACTGGCCAGTATTAGCTAATATCATCTGTTGACAGATTGTAGTGACCCCAGGGCCTCTGCCAGGGCTTGTGTGTGTTGTTTGTGTGTACTTTCAGTGTTCCTGTTTCTGGCTGATTGGAGCTGGAGGTTGTTTGGGAACTGGAAGCCGCTGGCCACTGGCCAGGTCTCCGTAAAACCCGCCCCATCCTGGTCATGTTTGGCAGACCTCGTCTCCCTGGTGTCACGTTATGTTATTTTAAGTTCTTTTGTTTTTCTCTATAGTTCATTTTTGCATTATCTTAGTTTACCTGGCAGCATGTTTTTCTGCCAGCATCCTTTATTAGTTTCAGAATCTTTATATTTGTTAAACTTTAACGTTTGTTAAATAAAATTCCTGTCTTTTAGTTTAACCCTCGCATGTGCTTCCCTTACTTGTTATGGTTTCAGAGCCGAGCCATAAGAAGATACCGTTAAGTCACAAAAAATTACAATACAGAAATGGCAAAGATATATTTGAGGTGAGGAATATTGGCAATGCAAATGTTTGATTTTTAAACTGCTAAATAGCCTCAAAAATCTAGTATTGGTTGGGCTGCGGTAATCATGAGTCAACTTTTTTGAACTTTCTATGAATACTAAAAATGTTTAATTTCTTCCCAGCACAGGAAAACATTTCAGCAATTTTTAATTAAAAAGCACACTCATCTTCACATTTGACTGATCAATCGTGACGCGTTGACTGGCGGGATGTTAAAGGTAAACCATGCAGGACTGTCAGTTACTGTTTGTAAAGACATTCTCGAGTGAAATTGACAGTGAAAGCCAACTCCAGATTCACTTTTGTTTGGATTTTTGCCTCACTATATTTGTGTTTATTTCAACATTGTATCTCTTGGACCCCTGCTTCTTATGATCTGGCAATTGGTCACTACCTTTTAATACAGTCCCGCCCTCACCTGAGCGCTGTGGGGCTACACGCCCACAAACCTCCCAAGCATAGAAAATGTAAAGAAAAACTGAGCATAGCCTTAGCTCAGGCAGGACACAATGTCAAGCTCAGCTCACATCCCAGCTACATCAGCTGATTTCAAGCAGCCCTGTCAACTGATGAGTCAGCTGACTGATCACATGATTGCTTTCTATGCAACCAATTGGGGAATCTCATTCAGGGCGCCCTATTTCATGCTGTGTCTGACTTATTAGTAAGTATTATTACTGTTTGTCATTGGTGCTGCTCTGTTCTGTTCCCAGGGATCTTTGCTGCTGCTCTCCTTAGGCTTTTTATGTAGGCACATGGAAGGGCAGGGAGGTGTGCTCTCCCTGCCTTACGGCTTTTCTCGTTTGCATGTGGAAGGGCAGAGAGGTGTGCTCTCTCCGCCTTAGGCTTTCCCTGTTTGCACGTGGAAGAGGCTTTATGTGTAAGCCTGAGGAAAGGCAAAGAGGCCCCAGAACGGAGCCATACCGCCAAATTTAATACTGCAAATGAAAGTTTTCTTCGACTAAAGTGTTCCTGACTGAGCAAGAGTTTCCGCAAATAATTATGCCGCTGCACACTTTAAGTGGGTCATAAGAGATGACTGAGAGGGATTACTTCTGTATCAGTCAAAACGTTGCTTTTTAGAAAAATCCTGCTTAGTTTATCTTTGAATAGGAATTGGGTCGCACCTAATGATTATTTTCCTGAGGATTTAGCGATTAATCTGCTGATAATATTTTGGATTATTGTTTTGTCTACAAAATATTTGAATGTCCCAGAGCCCTGGATGACTTATGTTTGGTTTATACAGTCCAAAATGCAAAGATTTGGTATCAAATACAGCAAAAAAGCATCAAATCCTCACAGTGAGAGGATGAAACCTTCCAATCTTTGCTTGAAAACTTAATTAATGGTTGCAGATTAATTTCACGTCAACTGACCTATCATGTCAGATCTAGAAAATTTGGACACGATCTTCATCTCTGATTATAATAAAACTCATTAATAAGTTTCTCAAGTGAGTATCTTACTTGGCAAATCCAATGAAGTCCTCATGGTTAGTGTTGATGTAGGAGAGCTCAATGTCAATCAACAGCAGCACCTGACAGGCAAAACATTACACGTGTTATGTACACAAAGAAGTGAGACTGTACGAATATATGGGCGAGCTGCATCTTTCTCCTCTCTCTATCTCACACACACACACACACACACACACACAAACCTGGTCTTTGGTCTTGCTGTCTCTCTCCCTGACGTAGGTGGTGACGATTCGCTCCGTCTCTTCTCTCAGCCGAGGGTACGAACCCAGCTGTAGACCCACACACAGAAAACACACCCACTGCTGCAGGCACCGTGATTACAGAACACACACCTATGTAGGCTTAGACAACACCGAGAACACTGTGTATCCTCATAAGTTGCTACACCCAACCACTTACAGGTTTGATACAGTATAAACACACAATATGAGGCAGGACAGTTGACACATTAAAACTGAGGAGGCATGCACTAATGAGCTCCGTATCAGCTTGAGATTTCTTGTCAGCTATAGATGTGGTGACAGCGAGTGTGAGGGAACAGTGAGCATAAGCATAATGTCATCTCAAGCTGATAGTGAGTCTCAACAAATCAGAGAGGAAGTGGAAAAAAAGGATCAGGTTAAAGACCAGAAAGAGATGAAGAGTGGGTCGGGTCTGGTGGAGTCTGGTGAGGGGGGTGGATTATTAGTGTGGTGCAGGAAAGAGTGTATCACAGGAGAAATACATTAAAATCTCCCTTAACAACACAGAGTGAATCACAGCCATAGCCTGGTTCCAGACCATAGACCCCGCCCACTCAACTGAGTAGGCTTGCATCTCTGGTCTGGCATGCTTCAATGAATTTGCGATTTATCTCATCCAAACGATGGACGGACCAATGAACGCCGGGGGTCTAGCAATTAGCCAATCAGCGCCACGATGATGTCAAGCTGTACGCCGGTGGGTAACTGGTAAGGATAGCAACAATGGCGACCGCTACAGATCCTACAGACCACATTAACGATGCTATCGAGGTATTTCGCCACTACTCCCGTTAATGGAGGACCAAATTAAGGAAGCTGCTAAACTGGATTTAACAGCAATGCAGCTGGGCGTGCACGGCAACGGAGACATTTTAAACGGGCAATGCTCGCTTGTTTTCGGCACCCCCAAGGCATGGATACTAATGACGTCAGATTCTGGGTGAGTCGTTGATCTCTACTGATTGGTTAGGGAAAAAATCAAATTCCCTCCCCCTTGTAAATCGCCTTCAATGGAAGCCATGTCAGACTGAAGGTTCTGGGAGCTTCAGTCTGACACTCAGGCTATCACAGCCACAGTTGTGTCATTTTCTAAGCAGCGAAATTTCTCAAAAGGCTTTTCCATTGGTGCTTTAGTCAAAAATCGATTTGCATTTCCATTACTAGTTTAAGCGCTAAGTCACACCCAGTCGAGTCGGGCCAACAGCGCGCCCAACCGCCTCCAGGTGGGTTGCGGTGAGGTCAAACGGGCTTCATTATCACTACTTAGCATCAACATTCAGTGACCACTGAGCAACATGTCAATCAAGAAACTTTCAGAGGAGTGATGCATATTTCATATACAGTTAGCTTTCTATAGACTGAGTAAAAATAATTTAATTCACTGTGCTGCTCAAAGGCTACTGGCAGCTTTTAAGGTGGAATGTTTTTTAGCATGTTACTCAATGCATGATTGGACTTTGTGATTCAATCAACAAGCCTTAAATATCAGCAGAGGGTTGCTCTAGTGCACTCCAGCAGCACTATACCTATGCTTCTGAGACGCTGCAGGCAAGCTGGAGGAGAAGGCATCCGGCATGAGTTCATGCAGTGCCAAAAGGTAAGGAAAGGAAAACTCCACTAACAAGAAGCTGTTAACCACTATAATACCAGCGGGGTGGATAAAAAATGTTCCACTGGTTCACAAATTCAAGCACGTCATCAGTAAAAGACACCTTCAAGTGGGTAGTTCTGTTGTACGGAGACGCAAATCCCTGTCGTGCTGAGCTGACGCGCCAAGTCAAGTCAAGCCAGCACGTGTATGGAAAAGGACTATTAGTGTGTGAGCGGGGATTTGATTTCATAAGTGAGGCAGGGTGAGGGAGTGTTACATAAATCACCAATCACAGTGCTGATGGGGTAAGTGGGCTGGTAGGGGTCCAGGATCAGAGAGGGCTCTTTTAGATTTGTCATTAAAGAGGGGAACCACAGAGTAAGGTGGGTGGGACGTGTGCTGAGTGAGGGCTTCAAGCAGCGGTGAGGGGGAACGATCAACAACAGACAGTGACAAGTTAGTTGATTAACATTTTTCTGACTCTTTTCCTTTCATTGATTGTTCTATCACTCTGCTTGCATTTGTTTTCTGCCTTCATTCTCTCTGTATTCATCAATTTCAAATCTGCCCCTCCACTCTTCCTGTTTACCTTTTCAGTGCATTTCCTGATCAGGGCGGCAAGCTCGGTGACGACGAGGTCGACACATTTCAGACAGGGATCTTTCAGCTTAATGATCTGCTTTTTCACTATGGCCTCAAACGCCAAGTCTGGGGTGAACAGGCCTGTCCTGTGGTGAGGCATCATGGGAATTGGAGGTTTAATGTCAGGTGAAGGAGGAGGCGGTGAAGCATGGGTGGGGGCCATGACGAGGAAAAAGGGAACGGTGGCAGGAAAATAAAGTTGGATAGAACAGAAAGAAAGAGTTTCAAAAAGGAAAAGAATGATAAAGGTCAAGGAATATGAGAAAAAAACAGGTATTTAGTTAGTTCTACTTCATGTACAGAACATAAACAAGCTGCAGGTTTTCAGAAGTGTTCACTCTAATTTCAGCTTCCTATTCACATGCATGTTAAGAGTCAGCCTACAGCGCTTTAGCCATGCTAGCTGCACGGCTCTATGAATGGCAGTGTCATTCAGTTCACCACTTTGATCCAGCTATTGGATGGGTTGCCATGACATTTTGTACAGACAGTCATATTTCCCAGACGATGAATCATAATCACTCTGGTGCTCCCTTAAATTTCCTCTTGCGCTACTACTTGGTCAAATTTCCAACTTGTCCAGTACTTTGATGCTAGCAATAAACTGAATTAGCATTATACTCGCTAAACATCAGCCTATTAGCACGCTGATGTTAGCATTTAGCTCAAAGCACCACAAGTGCAGCCTCATAGAGCCACTAGCACAACTGTAGAGTCTTAAAAGAATATTTCACCCATAAAATGACCATTTTTATATCAGTTACTCACCCTATGTTACTTGAAGAATACTTTGCTTTTCTCGCATGCCTCCATGGTGAATGGAGAATCCATAAACTGAGTAAAACGGGGCCATGTTTAATGACAGCAAAACTATATCAAAATACCCGTTTACAAGCTGTCACACAACTCGTGCAGCATAATCCAAGACTAATTTATCCAGTCATATGCTCAGTGCTTCCCAAAGACATGTTTTTTTGCTAAAGAATTTATATCTAAACACTTCGGCATGAACAGTTTCACGCACATGTAGTGTGTGCGTTTGATCTCTGTTCAGTGGAATGTACGAGCCGAGTTCAAACATATGCGCTTACCCATGTGTGCTACTTGTATGCGGAAGTGTTTAAATAGTAAGGTTTAGCAAAAATGAATGTGATTGGGAAGTACTGAGAATATGAAATTAAAATTAGATTACTCTGCACAAGCTGTGTGAGAGCTTGTAAACAGACACTTTCATATAGTTTTGCTGTTGTTAACTGTGGACCCCTGTAACTTCAATTCAGTTTTCGGCACAAATCCAGTGTAACACAGGGTGAATAATTGATGTACAAATGGCCACTTTAAGGGTGAAATATTCTTTTAAGTCTTGTTTAAGCTGTAGCCTAAAACCAAGCCTGCAGCTTGTTTTGTAATGAACCTGTATGGGAACATGTAACAGCCTGTCTGCTTCTAACCACACAGCCTCTCAGAGACACCACTTCAGTGCACTGCAGTACAGCCAGAACAATCAAGTATTTTCACTGATGTTCATGCAAGTGAAATTCAAAGCAGGACTAAACCCTCCCTCTGAACCCAAGATGCCAAAATGATATCCAAAAGCATATAGCTTAAAAAACTAAAACGTCTGCTTTATAAAACAGTTTGGCCCCAAAATGGCCCCTGGCAGCTGTAACGTTGGCTGGTCTCTGTGGTGTGTATGTACGGGTGTGGCAGCCAGGCAGGAGACCATGCAGCGATACCTTATTAGTGCACTGTCTGACTGTGTTGATGAGCTCCTGGATGACCAGGTCGATGCATTTCAGACAGGGTTCTTTCAGCTTAATGATCTGCTTTTTCACTATGGCCTCAAATGCCAGGTCTGGGGTGAACAGGCCTGTCCTGAAGGACATACAGACAAGACAAACATGGAGACATGGAGCAGGAGAGGGGGGGTAGATAGACACACAGGAAGAGTGTGAGACAGGCACATGGATGGAGGACATCAGCAAACAGACACTGAGGAAGATCAGATGAGGAGCAGTGGAAGAAAACATGGAGTGGAAGACAAGCAGCCAGGAGGGCTGACTAAAACCGGCTCACAGATGAATGGAAAACAAAGACTGACAGAAGAGACACACTAAATGAAGAAATGAAAACCAAGACAGATATTGACACTTGAAGAAAAAGCCTAATGGACACAAACAAACAGGGAAAAAGCTGGCTGACATGTTTGCAGACACAAAGACAGTGAAGGCAAACGTGTGTGACATGTTAGGTGCAATTTGCAGGCTTGCCTGACTCCGTGGATGTTCTTGATGGCGTAACTGATCTCTTTCCTCAGCTCCTTCTCATCAAACTCCATCTAAGACACAGTGCAAAGTTTAGATTGTATTTGTCCTATGCTGAATAAATGCTGCCTCTTTTTGCCAGTTATATACTGGCACACAGTCGATCATGAAGCCAGACAAGAGGGATAGTCTGTGGGTTTGTGTGCCCTTTTTTAGCGCTGGATTTATGAGAGGGCTTAGGCAACATGGTTACAGTATGACACCAGTATTTATGAAGATTGCCACATCAGTTAGTGTCAACACAAAAACAGTCACAGAGGAATTCATTAACTTAACTACGAGCGCACTTGTTCACCCTTAGAAATAAACAATCCTCTGACACAGTTAAAAATTAACTGACAATTAAGAGAGCAGCTCTTTGCCAAATTAAATGACAAATGCAAAAATATGTGCTTTATAAATGTAACTACTAATCCACAAAAAATAATGATGATAATCATGTTAGAAATTCACACTACTCACCTTCACCAGCTCAAATGGAAACCGCTCGTGGAAGATGCGGTTGATCTTTGCTCCACCTGACAAGTTGGAGGTGTCCACTTGATCCCCAGATCCCTCGATGCACTTCTCAAAGTCAACGCCAAACTGCTGCACCATCCTACGGATCGTACACAGAATACATGAAATGTCCTGAAGTAATGTATTTGTGTGTCTGCGTCTGTGTGTCGGAATGTGTGTACTGACTGGAGCAAGGCCTTTGTCTTGCGTGTAGGGTCGTCAGGGCGGAAGTTCTTGTACTCGTCCACCTCTTTCTCCAGTGATAGCAGCTGGCTTTGCAGCTTACTGCGTAACCCGGGCAACGTGTCGCGGATGTGGTTGGTAAGTTGCTGGAGAGACACGAAAATAATACATCTTTATAAAATATATCACTTCATTTTAATTATGACCTGAGGGAGAATTTTAATGCTGAGGAGATCTGTTTTTATTTCTTTCTACCATGTGTGCTCCCTTGGTACACACTCACTTAAAACAAAAAAAAAATCTTAATGCGATAACATAAAAAACATTAAAGCACAAAGGAAAACAAGCCAGAAATAATATTTTCAGCCCTGAATATTAGTTAACAAATTAATCTTCAACAATTTGTCACCATTCTCTGAGCTTTATAAAAGAACATACTCCATGTCTCTATGTGCGTGTGTGTGTGTGTGTGTGTGTGTGTATGATGAGGTGTGTGTCTCACCTGATTGAGGGTCTTCTGCAGATGTGGTGTGCCCATGCGTTCTGCAATGTGTCTGTACGCCGGGTGGGACAGGAAGAACTTCCTCTCAGCAGCCAAAGCAGCACGGATGTCTTTCTTTCCATCGATGTCCTTTTGACTGCGGTTCACCACCCCGATGTAGCCTGAAGAAAGAAAAGGTGTCTGCTGTTCTCTGTGGGTTGTAGACTAAAGACCATCACTGATCGCAGAGGATTTTCAAGAAAATATTAAAGTATGACGACGTCTAAAATCTGGGAACTGTGCATCAGAGGGGCTGTTCATCTGATGTGGACGAAAACACAATGAAGTTTAACCTGATAGTCAATTTAACATCATGGTCAGTGTTTAATTTGAGAGCTAATGTGTAGCAGAATGTGTATACAGTGGTCTCACCTCGGCGAAGCGGCAGCAGTTTATTTTCCAGGATGTCTCGGGCATCCGTCCCCTCATCCATCAGGTCCAGTTTGGTGATCACACCAATGGTCCGTAGGCCTAAAGACAAAAGTGTCATTGCTTTGACTGTTCTATCTATCTTGTTCTATCTTTCTACCATCTATCTATCTTTGTTTTTTTTGACCAAATACAAACTTAAGATGACATTCAGTTTAGGTGCTTTGTGGCAAGCAGACACACACATCCTGTGATGACGTAATTACGTTAATGAGCACTGGACCAACACCAGTGTAGCTGGCTATGCTGCATTGTTGCTCATAGTGTGTGTGAACACAGCATTAGGCAAAGCAGTGCGCTATGCTAACATCAGCGTGCTCACAGTGACAATGCTAACATGCTGATGTTTAACAGATAAAAAGCTAACCATCTCATTAACCATCTTTTTCAGTGTGTTAGCATGCTAACATTTGCTTAGCAATTGCTTAGCAGCAGCATTTAACACAGTGTAGCCTACAGCTGAGGCTGGTGGGGAATGCCATTAGTTTTGCAGGTATTTGGTCATAAAACAAAGTATTAGACAAAGATGAAAAGTTAAGGGAAAGCTGTTCAAACTGTAGCTGTTACCCTATGTACTGGGGCGGCTGTGATTCAGGAAGTAGAGTGGTCATCTACAGATCAGAAGGTTTGATCCCTGGCCCCTGCAGTATGTGTTGCAGTGTCCTCGGGTAAGAACCCCAAAGTGCTGCCGATGGCCGTGCCCATCGCTGTGTGACTGTGCTTACGATTATCTGATGGGCACCTTATATGGTAGCCTCAGCCACCAGTGTATGTGTGTGTGAATGTGGTGCCTGTTGTGTAAAGCACTAGACTAGAAAAGCACTATATGAACGCAGACTATTTACCATTTCTGCAGTTACAAGTCTGTACCTTTAATAACATCTTCTGGATTGAATGAAGTAAGGCTAAAGGTGAGGGTGATTAAATTTAATTACATCTCTACTAATCTTATTCAATATATCTATGCTGCCAGGAAGTCTTTTAATAATGTAACTGTTAATTATTGTGACGAGCCGGCTCCTGCACCGAGGCAAGGATTAATAAAAAGAAAAAGAGTGATAATGGCTTCAAGGTACAGCAAAAAGTAATTAGCTTCATAGCAAATTAGAGCCAAAAATGGATAACATTTATAAAAATATCCAGAGAAAGGGTACCAAAAGACATACAGACTAACAGGATCCTACACACAAACTTTCCCCAATGTATCACAAGGTCTCCTTACCCTGAGGGTCCACCTCCTTAGCAATCTTGAGGGCATCGGAGTTAGCCAGGTCAGTGTTGGCTGGGGTGACGGCCAGGATCAGACAGCTTTCCTTGGTGATGAACTGCAGCAGCATGTCCCTGATCTGGTGCTCAATGTCTGGAGGCTGGTCTCCCACGGCCACTTTAGTCATCCCCGGCAGGTCGATCAGGGTCAGGTTCAGCACTGAGAGATGGTGATGGAGCAGGAGGAAGGAAAGGAATTAGTCGGAGGTTAAAAACGTACACCTAGAAGGCGGGGTTTGTTTGTGTGTGCTACCGTTAGGGGAGTAGACGCGGAGGTTGATGGGGATGGCGGAGATGCCCTTGTTGGATCCCGTGATCCGGTCAGTTTCTGCTTCAATCTCCAGACGCACCTCATCAAAGTCCACAAACTTGCGTCCCTTACAGTGCAGGAACTCAGCATACTCTACATGGAAAAAATGAGAGATTGAGACAGGAGAGAAGGCGATGGACTGATGGGAGACAAATATAGAAAACAAATGTAATAAGGTGGACAGCACAGAGGGGAAGTTGGCACATGTGTGAGATTTTGATGGTTTTACAACTACATGGTGACTAAATTGTGCTGACAGTTGACTTTCATTATTTTCACACTTTATTACCTTTTGCACTGGAATAAATTAATTATTTTGTTTCTGATTCTTACTAAATTTCTATTGGCTAGTGAGACTGTCAAAAATGATATGATCTCTGTTAATTAAACATTCAATAGCATCGAAAGCATGGACTGTACAAAAAAAAAAGCTACCGTGACATAACTCATTGGTTTGTGGACTCCCATTTTGAAGAGTTTGACATTTCGCCTATCGACTTCTTGTTTTTTTGGGGCCAGAAGTGACTATATTTTGGACGAAGGGTGGAGCTATGGAGGAACAAATGGTGGATAGAACTGAGAAGCTGAGGACACTGTCAGCCGACAGCCTGTTACTCAAAGCAGCCACGTCCATAATTATGTGTAACTTTAAGCCTTATGTAAAAAGTAATATAAAAATCCACCCACTGAACAGTTGTCATGAATGGGAAATTTAGCTATAGAGACCCAAGCTGTATTTTGGCAAGGCTGTAAACATATTTATTTTAGCTTTAAAGTGAAGAATTTTAACATTGGAGGTCTATAGAGACAGAGCGCAAAGCGTCATAATCTGAAAGCCACGCACCCAAAGGGGAAACGAGGCCCACTTTCCCCTCACACTTTCCCCATCTGTTTCCAGCCTGGTGAGTTTTCCCTAAGTCCAAATGCTGAAAAGTTGCTGTGTGATGGGCTGCACGGCCAATAAAAACCCAGAGCTTAGCTTTTATCAGCTGCTGAGCAGAAAAACGGAACCTTGTAGAAGACAAAAGTGGATACAGGCAATAAAACGTGAGGCTTCAACAGGGAAGAAATTGTGGGATCCCGACACTCGGTGTGCCTATGTGTGCAGCACACACTTTGTCAAACCCTCCAAATGTATTTTTTAGAGTAACAGTTAACTGTATTTATGTTAAGCTAAAGCATTGACAGTATGAATGCAACTTCTGTTATAATTGTGCCCAGCGCTCCGCGATTCAAGCAGTCCATTCCAGCGGTCCGCTCTAGCACTTCTATCAATCTGCCAGCATGTAGAGGCATGTCTCAAAACAACAATGTGTGCAGGTAGTAGGAGCATGCCGAAATGCTCATCTTCTTAAAAAAGAATCTCCACATCATGTTTTTTCCAAGACGAGCAAGGTAAGGAGAAGGGACACTGAGGCAGACCGGCAATATTAAGCTTATCAATATACCGCTGCCTCTCTGGTAGGCATAGCATGCTAAAATAATCCTTTGCCATCTTATTATTAGCTAATTATTAGCTAGCTATAGTTAATAATTTTCGCTAGCTAGCAATTCAGTTGTGGAGACTTGAAGGCGCAGCTGCGGAGGCAGAATGACAGCGAACGAGCGAAGTAGCAAAGGGGAGAGTGGGCCTCGTTTCCCCTTTGGGGGCGTGGCTTTCAGATTATGACGCGTTGCGCTCTGTCTGTATGGGGATTGATTCATTTCTGGAGCCAGCCTCAAGTGGCTGTTCAAGGAACTGCAATATTTGGCACTTCCATGTTGGTTTTATTTTCAGCAGCGAAGGTTGCCGCATGATCAAAAGTAGGGAAGCTATAAAAAGTAAAAGCATTCTCTCCAGCAATGAACCCACCATATAACTGAAGACAGAGGCACAAGCAGGCAGCACCACACAAGTGGATGTCAGTGCCTATTAGTTTTTATTTCTATTTGCCATGATTTTGAAAGAGGTACTACGTATTGTTTTGTATCGGGTTTTTTTTTACACTAGCATCGCATCAGAGTTTAAAGTCGCAGTATGGTGACAACATTATTAGCTTGGACTGTTTTGGCTACACACACCTAACCGGGTCTTGAAAAGCCTAGATAAAGGTCCAGACATACCGAACTGACATAAAAAAACTAGTGCCACCAAAGGCCGACTGTTGTGTTGCCTCATGTCGCCTGTGTCTTGGCCAAAAAGTTGCATTAGAATGCACCACAAAGACTACAGCTAACGGCCAACTTATACTAACATTCTATGCCTGTGTGAGAGGAGATAACTCTGTTACAGCAGGTGGCAGTAGTCTGTAATTGTCATATAAAAAGGGAAACTGGAAGACCGACAGAATGGATTCAAGATGCTACTTAGCCAGTTAGCACATTAACAAAGACCTCAATGGCTGAAAAATAATCTTACAAAATATAACAAGTTAATTTTGCTCTCACTCTACCTTGACTTTATTTTTTTGTTTACTTTCCTCACTTCCATTTCTCTTCTCATGCACTGAGCTTAACTGCTGATCACATTGATTTCATTCCCAAATGGGTTCTGCTGTCTCCGATGCCAATTCAACATGCTGAATTAGCCGAAAAAAGCCGACAGTGCAGGACACACAGCAAAAACTAGGGCAACAGGCGGCCACCAACGGCCTGACACTGACCGAAGGCTAACCATTGGTTTGGTGTGTTAGGGCTTTAGCGTGCAAACCCTTTCCCAACCCGACTTATGTAAACAACTTGCCTGCTTTACTGTTAACCAGCTGGAGGATGAGAGGACGACGGGTGACGATGCCAGATCCTCTGGGCAAGAAGTCCCTGAGAGAGAGACAGAGATAAAGTTTAATACACACAGACAACCAAGGGACAAGAGTACTGACAGGCCGATGGCCATTAGGCTGACAGGGACATGTCACAACAATATGTCAGATCAAATCTTAAAAGATATCGAGCTTGCTCCTCATCGATCCCTGATTAATTATTCAACATGATATTTTATTCTCAGAAAATACAAACTGAGGGGAAAAAAGCCCATGAGCATCTTTAAACATGTCAAAGTACTGAATTTGTCTCAGATTCTACTAAAACAAGAGTACAAGCTCTAAAATCCATCCCTGGTGTCTACGCATGTACATTCGTGCATTATTAATGCAAGGCCAAGATTGCCTTACAACCTTATTCATTATAAATAGTGCAAAAGGAAAGAAGCATGTCTCTCTGTTTCTCCTTCTCATTACACGCACATTCATCACAACGGAAACTGTTCAATAGAATTGTGATTATTTCCAGGTCACTGACTACACATCTCTCCAGGCTATGAGAATATGTCTATGTCTGTCCGTCCTTCTGTCTGTGTGTTTGCCAGGTTAGCAGCAAAGACTGAGTAGTTTTAGCATAAGGTAAGCAGGCCATACGTACACACGCACACACACACACATACATTAAGACATACACACACCCTGTGCCTGCTGTCCACTGCTGACAGAGCAGTCAGGATGTTACACAACAGTGATTCCCATCCTCTTTCCTCATCTCTTCCTGTCACTTATGAAAGCACATCATGAATAATACGTTACTTGGGCTGTAAATCTCAAGTTTCACACGATATGATATTTGCTGATATCACAAAGTCTGCCACAATATGATTCTGATTTGATTCTGTTAAGGGGCCTGTGATCAATATGAGACAACATCTGCAAACATCTTCACTGTCTTTTATTCGGGCTGCTTTTCCCTGTCTGCCTGGTACTAGGCCGCTAACACTGTTCAAACTTTAAGAAGGAGGTGCGCTTGGACAGAAATGGTGACACAGATATGCCACGGGAATTTCAAAATCAAGGCAGATATAATGACTCATTTATGCTCATCAGTAGATACGTATTCGGACACGGACAGCGCCTTGTGTTCGTACTCTGTATTCATTTCGCCCGTATCTGTGCACGTTTTCTAAAAACTTACAAATATGAACAAACAGCACAGTACCACTGGAGATCATGGGGGCAGTGTAGCGCAGTCCAAGTGAGATGCGACTGTAGGAGATGACGAAGACATTTTAAAAATGGCTGAACAGAATGAATAAGTAATATAGTGAAAAAAATTCAACAACTACATCTTGCTTGGTACTAACGTTTACTGAAAAAGCAGGTAATCAATTAAAACGTGTCATTTATCCAGTAAACATCCCAACCAAACATTTGCTGGTTGCAGCTCCTTAAATGTGAGGATTTAGGCTCTTTTGGTTATTTTTTTACACTTTATTTATATAATTGGCTCCCAACAAGAGCTGAAATAATTGGTTCGACAAACTGATTTGTAACAAAATTTATCTGCAACAATTTCCGTATTGATTCATTCATTGAAGAGACTATGTCAAATTTATTCTGGTTTCAGCTTCTTGACTGTGAGCATGTGTTGCTTCTCTCTAGTTTCCTTCAGTACAAACTGGATATCTTTTCATTCTGGAGTGTGGGTGGACAAAACATTTGAATTAATCCAAAAAAATTATAATCAACAAATTGATCAGTAATGACAATAACCAGTTGCAATGCTTTTATCAACCATTCTGGTTTTTAGAATTTGAAATGAAGCACCACTGCTTGTAGGAGCTTACATATGAGCACAAAAGAGTGATTTCTTTCCTTGAAAACAACTCAGACTTTAATGCTTGAATAACTGTTCGAGGCCTGAAGAGGAAAAAATATTCAATATTTCACAAACAAAATAATTAAATTATAGAATAACCATGTCCAAATCTACTTTTCTTTCTAATTAATCGTCTTGTGACCCCCCAGATTAATCATGCGCATCACTGAAGGGGTCTCTACCCCCAGGTTGAGAACCATTGATCTACATGTTCAAGTGGAAAATGAAAAGTAGATTGATCAACAATTAAAATAATTGCTATTTGCAGCCCTGACTGACTAAGACCTACTCCAAATAACTAAGAATGAATAAATAAGCAGAGCCAGTGTCTCACTCCTTCATGTCAGTGGGCTAATTAACAAACAGGAAAACAGCTAAGTAGCCTCCTGTGGGTATCTGGTACCCAGTGTGTCATATACACATGACAGTGCAGCTGGTGACATCACTGATGACCCCAGCACAAACACATCAATGCCCCTACTGTCTCCCCCAGCCACTGCTTGGGACTCGGAGACAAAAGGCAACAGGAAAAAAAGGAGACGTGGCTGGCTAATCAACATTCCCTATCTCTTGGACAACAAGTGGAATCATTCTAACATGTCGAAGATTTAAGCGTCCCCTTTTCTGGGCACCGTCTTTTGGAGATAAAAACACAAAGCAGATTAGGCCTCTGCGGCAGCAACACAGACATGTCTTCTTCCCCTTCCCTTTCCTCATGAATAGATCTTCTCCCAAAGTGTGAGTTAGTGTTTCAACTGCACAACAAGCTGGCTAAGTGGTTATTTTCCACATGGTTATAAACCGAGCAGAGCGATCCAAACACATGGCATTGATGGAACAGTTGGTTTGCTGCTATTTGTCATCAACCGGGGGTCCACAATTCAAATTCCTTTATACTCATTCATCAACCTCACTGTGATATTCAGCAGTGCAGGCAAGCTGGGAGTCATTTCCATTTGCTCTGTCAGTATTTGCACTGCCTCCAATACTTCATCTGTCTGACAATGACCTCTTCAAACCTGCCAGTAATCTTTTTGTACCTCACCCTTCAAAGTAAAACATTACCCTGACCTATGTAATGTGAGGCTTATAAAGATGTGTTTACAACACCAGGAAACAAAATCTCAAGGAAAAACAACCTTTGTAAATGTTTGACAGACTGGGCCTAATGAGAAGCAGCGACTGCACAGATCAGAGATCTTATTCCTGCTGAGGAGGGTTCATTTTTATCCACTAAAATCACTTCTATGCACCCTTCAAACCCATTTCTCCTCCGTTTTTGTGATTCAACAGCTGTTGTTTTCCGTAAAATGCGTAATTGTGGTTGGTGAATAGCTCAGCTCCAAAATGGAAAGAATCCGTTGGGAGAAAAAAAACGTTATGAACTGGGAGGCACCGACACAGCGCGTAACCAAGTGCTTAGTTGGCGACTTTTACGCAAAAGCCCGGCGCAGTTTGTCTTGAAAGAAGCGCAACAGGCACAAGCAACAGCCATTAAAGTAAAAAAAAAAAAAAAAACATTCACAATGTCAGATAACTCCAAGACTACATATATTTTGTACAACCTCCCGACGAAATTCTCCAACACGGAGCTCTTCCCTGCGCTCTGGCCGCCGACAACCGCTATCTGCGGCAGGTCCAAGTTGCACGTCTGTCCGATGGAGCTGAAGGCGTCCTGGAGCTTGTTTATGAGGGGAATAAGGTCTTCCATCCCCCGGTTTCCCATAGCGGCACCTCGGTCAGCCCAGCGGGCTCTATCCGGCTCTGCTCCCCGGTCAAATAAGAGCCAAAGGGTCGCTCTTCCAGCACAACAAAAGTTCCCAGATGGCACCGCACTGTGTCACAGTGTCTGTGAGTTTATTTCATTAAAACACACAGCAGATTGGAGTCATGGGTCCCGACTGCGGTCAGAGCACTGGAGACGACATTAGCTGGATGATTGCATGATAAAAGTAGCCACATTAAACCGAAAACTTCTGTCATCATCCGGTCAGGCGACACCCAGCCTCCGCCGGAGATTGTGGCTCCGCCCATAGCGTCACTCTCCTCTGTCATTGGTCAGCTGGGACGTCTGTCAATGTAAACATACATGTCATCATTTCTGAAGTACAGTTTGTGAAACAGGAGGAGTGACAGGCGTTGGAACATTTTAAGGGTTCATTTGCAAAAAATAGCTTTTAATGGTGCACTCAAACTTTTGTTTAGCATGTATTTTTAATTTCTCCTAAATATTTGGGATCAGTAGGAAGTATAAAAGACTAAACTCTGTCAGCGATTATAAAGTCCCAGTGTCCTCAAATGAGACTATAATAAAGTCCCAGTGTCCTCAAATGAGACTATAATAAAGTCCCAGTGTCCTCAAATGAGACTACAATAAAGTCCCAGTGTCCTCAAATGAGATGACAATAAAGTCCCAATGTCCTCAAATGAGACGACAATTAAGTCCCAATGTCCTAAAGTCCCAGTGTCCTCAAATGAGACCATAATAAAGTCCCAGTGTCCTCAAACCAGATGACAATAAAGTCCCCATGTCCTCAAATGAGACCATAATAAAGTCCCAGTGTCCTCAAACAAGATGACAACAATAGACTCCCATTATCCTAAAAAGAGATGACAATAAAGTCCCAGTGTCCTCAAATGAGACCATAATAAAGTCCCAGTGTCTTCAAACAAGATGATAGTAGAGTCCCAGTGTCCTCAAATGAAACAATAATACAGTCCCAATGTCCTAAAACAAGACATCAATTAAGTCCTAATGTCCTCAGATGAGACAACAATAGAGTCCCAGTCTCTTCAGTCTTACCTTGCTACTGTTGCTAAAAGTGGTCAAATGTATTGCCATATCAAACTACAAACATTATTAATCATAAATAAACAAGTTTCAACCATAAAATGTGATCAGGTTTTGGACCTTGTCCACTTATGTGTCAGGATCAGCTGCAGACTGACTTGGCGGAGATGGGTGTCATCTTCTTTTTACATGAATTAGTGTGTTGTGCTCTTACTACCACTAGATGGCACAAAAAAAAAGTGTCCACGAATGAGGACAACAGGTCTTAGTTAAGTAGAAGGTCAAGTAAACCCAAAAGGTGATGTCCTCACATGAGGACACAAGGTCTCAGGAGGTTACAATAGCTTATCAGTTATTGCAAACGGACTTGTCACTTAAATTTTCTTTATCAAAAAAAAAAAAAAACATGACAAGACTAAACCGATTCATTCATACTTGAATTTAAAGGAGCTTTAATATCTTTTAATTGTTAAATGCCAGATTTCTGATGAAGGTGCACACAGGCTTTTGTTTGCTGATATTAACTGAAAATGTAGACAGAATTAGATTCATCATTTAAGAAGAAGTGGATCATCAGTTTGTCTCTGTGTGGACTTATAAATTATTAGTGTGACTTTTAAACCTTCAATTTGACTTAAATTTAATGGTAGAATGCTTACTGTTGTATGGATGTACAGACCAGGTTTGATGTTTGTTGTTATTGAATTAAAATATGGTCTGAAGCTTGCTCAGTTGATCTAAGATCTGTTCATGTGTGCTGCCTGACTTTAATTTGTTGTTTTTGTTGTTTTATTTAGCAACTGAAAGGTCAAACCAGGCAGTGCCCTTGATATGACTCATGATATAGTTACCAGCTTGAGTAAGAAGTGAGCAGTTGAGTTGCTGAGACTTGACATTAAAGGGACAGTTCACCCCAAAATCAAAACCACATGTTTTACCTCTTACCTGTTGTGCCCTTTCTCAATTACTAGATTATTTTGGTGTGAGTTGCACAATGTTGACTAAACTACATGGCGCTCAGCTTGTGGTGCTCAAAATGCCATAAAAATAAATTAATAAATTGAAAAACTCAACAACAATGACTGTTCAGTGTTGCAAATTTGCAGTTCCTAGCATAGCAAAGGCATGACCTGCCTTACTCTGCCTCTGATTGGCTTACCGTGACATTTTTACACTAACTCTGACCAATCTCACTCCTCTTGCCGAAACCTAACCAACCCAACCAAAGAGGCCAATGAGTACTAGCCAATCAGATTGAGAGTAGGGCCTTCACTATTCAAGTAAACACAAATTTGCTCCCCCCTTTCCAGTCTTAATGCTAAGCTAAGCTAACTAGCTGCTGGTGGTACCTGTACATTTATGGTACAGACATTAAAGTGGTGTCAGTGTCCTCATCTAACTCCTTGCAATAAAGTATATTTCCCAAAACTACTCCTTTAGCATGTCTAGCACTTGTGATGAGATATAAATCTACACTATTTGCACTAACCAAGCCCATACCAAAATTGGCAAACCAAAAAGGAAAAGGTCCTTGTTCTCTACAGCAATGGGTGTCTGTGGCTAACGGCTCATTTGTTCAAGAGTCCACGCCCAGCAAACCTGCTTCATGGTCCACCAGTCCACAGGCCATAATGCCACCTCTTTCTCCTCACTCTGAGAGGAGCCAAACAAAGACACCTGCTCTGAGTCCTCTAGGTGTCTCACTGAGTAAAGAGACCCAGCATCCCTGAGCCTGAGACACAAGAAAGTCAAAATGGACTCCGTATGCAAAGTATCTACGAAGATGTTCTCTGAAGTTGACAACGTATAAACTCTCCAGCTTGGACTAGACAAATTAAGGCCTATCTGCTGCCCTGTCCCACTGCTGTTTGAAAGATATTCTTATTTTGTGACTTACCTCAGAGTCCACCAGCTGTCGAGCTACTGGAGTTGCCTCCTGGCCCCACTTAGCCTGCTACATTTGTGGAACAAGCCATCTAAACTTACCTCATCAGGTACAGCAAAGAATTAAGGATAGAAACTTCTCCTTAGTTCCCTCCAGCTGCACACACTTCTCTTTCCTACTTTATCATGTGCCCTTTAAAGATACCTTCACATATATTATTCCTACTTATTTCACCACAAGAGGGCGATGAAGCTTTCCTGCCAGCCTCTTCCTCAACTGTAGCAAAGAAATGGCAACACAGACATGTTGTTCAAAGACTTGTCACTTGGTGGCAGCAAAATTATAGCATATTTGAGTCCTTTGGAGCATCTTTACCTTCTGTATTCTTGGCCGAGCCTTCATGGAAAGAAATTAAGGAGTCTGAACACTTTTCACATTTGTGTGTTGATTTGCAGAGCAGATAATAGTATCAAGGTACTGATTAATACATTTCTGATGTATTTGTGTGGATGATCCATCAAAACATTTTTTTTTTTTGTCTTTTCATGCTTTTGTTTGACCACTTTCCTGGCAGTGCGGAGGATCATTTTTTAGTCGCTGACCTCTGGAAGTGCTGCTTCATCTGCTGCCCTTCATTAACTCTAATTAATGATAGGAAGAAACAAACATCACTCATTATTGAGGCCATTTTGGGAGAGGAGGATAGTAGCAAGTATACCTAAGATTTGAGTACTACAAAAATGACACTACATACATGCTGCGGTGCAGACGTCTAGAGGGTGCATTAAAGTGTCTGAAGCTTAGACATCACGCAGTCTATAATATATGTTAATAACATCACAGAGGAAATTATCCCAGGATGCTACGCTGCCTTATAAGGTACTGTCATATGGTTTTGACCAGATTTCCATCTTCTTCTGTGGCTGTGTGATTTTACATCTCACCAAATGTAACATTTTTGACATTCAGTAATTCCACAGTGCAAATTTGTGGACAGGACTCATCAGTTAATTACATGAAATGGACAGACTTGTGTAATGCACCTGGGCCATCAGAGTTTCCTCATCAACTGATGATGTGATATGGTTTCTGTACTGGAGAGAGAACAGGAATTGGTTAGGCTGACCAGTTCTTGACCTTTGAAATATCCACATTACAGTAACTTATACAGGTGTTTGTACAATTAAACAAAAAGAGATTACTATCTATCATTATTTTTTGTTGAAATGCAGTGTGTATCATTATTTGCCACACAAGACCCAGACATTCAGCCATAGGAAGCAGACTCATAACACGGCCCAGTTAAGGGTTTTCTGTTGATTATATCCCAATCTGATGAATTCCCCAAGAAACTGACTAAATATATAGACTTTTAAATAGTTATCCTAAGTGTTTATATGAAATGCAAGCCAGTTTTCTCACACAGCACTAACAGTGTATTTACATGTACCTCTAATTAACCCTGGACAACATTAGGATTTCATCCAGAGCTGTATGAGGGGGATGAGGGGATGGGGCTCCCTGATAGTTGTGGCCCCTCTAATCACAATTTAAGTGGGATCTATACCTCTGCTTTGAATTGACGCCATACCTACAGCAGAGGTTCTGCGTTGACATAGAGCCTATGCTATATGCTATGCCGTAGCTTGACGTGCACCTCCCCAGAAATGTTACTATGCGTTGTGGCAGTGGACTCTTCTGTCTATTTCTGTACGCTGAAACCATTTCCCTCAGTGGAAACAAAGCTTTCATTTACTTTCATTTTCATTTTCACAGATAAGAAACAATAAATTGTGAAGACAACAAAGCCTCCACTAAAATAACATTTCAAGCCTTGTGTGTGATTTATCCTGGCTTCATATGAGAAGAGGAAATCTCAGCTATTCGCTAGACTAATTTATGCAATGTAAAATGCCATAGGCTTGTGCTAATAGCATTAACATGTTATATTTGTTTGGAAAATGTGTTTAGTAGGCCTATAAGACAGCTATTTTATCAGTAACCCTTGTGAGTTGAAATGGAGCCGAATTTTGTAACGTTACCTTTGATAAATGTAGAGGAAGAGTCTGCAAGCTGCTTGGCTATTTTATACAATGTAAAATGCCATAGGCTTGTGCTAAAAACATTAGCATGTTGTATTTGTGGGGAAAATGTGTCCAGATAAAGACAAATGCTTTGTCTGTGAATTCTGTTATGATTTATGATTTGATTTAATTTATTTTTTTGCACATATAAATTTAACATGTACATATCTCTCTTGGTGGAGAGGAAGATGCAGAGAAATGTGCAGGTGAGGTCGGAAACCCGAAAGGTTCTTAGAAAGTTATAGTTATCGTTAGTT